TTTGTTGGTGATTTTTGTTTGAGATTCGCGTGCGGGAAGCTCTTTTATTTGAGCTACTTTGCGGACAAGTTTCGCTGGCAAAAACAGTTCATTGTACAGGGAGACAACTTTTAAAGCAGACGTGATTATATAGATGGTGCGCTTGTACACAAGTTCCGAAGATCCTTCACTTTGAGGTTCACGTCTCCAGCTCGATCTCGTCGAACATCAGACGCGGTGGAGTTTGTATCATTTGCACGCGCCCGTTATGATCTTAAACATCACCTTTGTCGGGCCAATTCAAAGTCATTTCCCTTTTGACGGGGTGATGTTTACAGAGGAACATACAGATCCGTCATTTTGTGGGGAGTCGCGCCCCGCAAATAATCCACCAGTTTTTGTTTTAATCCGGGGTCGACATTTGTAAAACACAACATCGACAACTTTTGACGCTTCCTCGCGCAGGGTCGAGACACCCACCAACGTGAGCCGGGACTTCCTCTTCTCAGGCACGGCCGCGTGTCGTTTTTTTCCCCAACAGCTGGAAGCTTTGGGGTCTCAGCCCAGATAGGCTCTGGGGTGGTCCGGGGCGGCCCTGAGGTAAGGTTCCCCCGGGTTCCACCAGGGTTTGACCAGGGTTCCACAAGACGGGGGTTCCACGACGGTCCACGAGGGTTCCGAGAGCTGTGGGGTGATCCATGAGGTAGGTTCCACCAGAGTTCTAGTGGTTCCACCAGGGTAGGGTTCCACCAGGTTCTGCGAGGGCTTTGGTTCCACGAGGGTTCCACCAGATTTTGACCAGGGTTCCACCAGGTGCTGCGAGGGCTGCGGGGTGGTCCGGGATGGTTTGAGGTAAGGTTCCACGAGGATTCCACCAAGGGTTCTGCACGGGCTGCGCGGTGGTTCCCAGGGTTTCATCGTTCCACCAGGGTTCCACCAGATTTTCACCAGGGTTTCACCAGGTGCTGCGAGGGCTGCGGGGTGGTCCGGGGTGGTTTGAGGTAAGGTTCCACGAGGGTTCCACCAAGGGGTGGTTCCCAGGGTTTCATCGTTCCACCAGGGTTCCACCAGATTTTCACCAGGGTTTCACCAGGTGCTGCGAGGGCTGCGGGGTGGTCCGGGGTGGTTTGAGGTAAGGTTCCACGAGGGTTCCACCAAGGGTTCTGCACGGGCTGCGCGGTGGTTCCCAGGGTTTCATCGTTCCACCAGGGTTCCACCAGATTTTCACCAGGGTTTCACCAGGTGCTGCGAGGGCTGCGGGGTGGTCCGGGGTGGTTTGAGGTAAGGTTCCACGAGGGTTCCACCAAGGGTTCTGCACGGGCTGCGCGCTGGTTCCCAGGGTTTCATCGTTCTACCAGGGTTCCACCAGATTTTCACCAGGGTTTCGCCAGGTGCTGCGAGGGCTGCGGGGTGGTCCGGGGTGGTTTGAGGTAAGGCTCCACGAAGGTTCCAGCCAAGGTTCCACCAGCGTTCCACCACGGTTCCACCAGCGTTCTGCGTTCCACCAAGGTTCCACCAGAGGGCTGCGGGGTGGTCCGGGGTGGTTTGATAAGGTTCTATGAGTTACCAGGTTTTTACCAGGGTTCCACCAGGTTCTGCGAGGTAAGGTGCCATCTTCACCAGAGTTTCTGTGGAGTTGCGAGGGATGGTCCGGGGCGGCCCTGAGGTAAGGTTTCACAAGGCCCCACAAGGTTCCACAAGGGTTCCACAAATGTTCTGCAAGGTTCCGCGGGACTCACTGTGCAGCAGAGCAAATGCTTGGCATTGCTGAGTATTGCTTGGTGGGCTTTGGGTTCCAAGCGTTCCACAAGGCTGCGAGGGCAAAGTTTCACGGCCCAGCTCGGGGCCCAATTGCACCGTCGGGGCCTGAATCCGGCCCCGATTGCGCCGTCGGGCCCCGATCGATAACTGTACCAAGCTGGCATCGCCTAGTTTTGCTAGATGCAGTTGTAAGGCCGCATCCTAAGGAAAACCGGCGTTGAGCTATAATATGGTTGGCTGGGGTTGGTGGGAGCCCGCTTGCACCACGGCACCATCGGGCCGCGGTCGGGGCCCGATTGCACTGTCGGGCCCCTTGGGCGACGATTGCGCCGTCGAGCCCCGATCGGGCCCTGATTGCGCTGTCGGGCTCCGATCGGGCCCCGATTGCGCTGTCGGATTCCGTCGGGCCCCGATCAGTGCGCGATTGCGCCGTCACTCTTAGCTTTGCGTTCCGCGAGGATTCTGGGGTGTGGCGCTGTTGGGGATATCGCCTGAGCTTTTTTTTTTTTGCCTAGGGAGAAAACGATCATGGCGGAATTCGATGCCCTCCCAAAACGGACTTGAAGGGATGGTAAATGGAAATGGAAAGGCGGCTCTGACAAGGGGATCCAGACAAGGGCCTCACGTTGGGGCCATGGTAGGTGAAATGTCAGGGTAACGCCCCTTTTGTGCATGCCCCTTGTGGCACACTCCAGAATGCAAGCCCCCCAGCTATTTTAGATGATTCTCCAGGGAAAGCCCAAAGAAGCGTAACCATTGTTCGGGGGTCCAATGCTTATTTTTGCGAAGAACTCCCAAAGGACGGTTTTGAAAGTTTTGAGAGGGGAACAGCACGCCGCCTGGGTTTGAGGTGTGCACACATGGAAGATATGATTTGCAGTATGTATATGTGTATGCATTTTAACAGAAGGGATCGGTTGCCCAAAAGAGCGTTACGGCTGATAACCGCTCAAAAGAGAGGAAAACACAGTTGACACAAAAGGGGGAGAACCCGGGGACCTTAACAGACCGAACCTCCCCGTGGCTGCGACCTCTCCCTTAGTTCCCTAGGGCAACCTGCGTGCAGCAGCACGCCTTTTTCCTTGGGCCTTGAGTCATGCATGAAATGATCTGACAAGGCGGCCTGGCATGATGACTTGCTCTTGCGGAATCTCCCACCCAGCAGGAAAAAGTGAAAGGCCGCCCTGAAAGGCCTCCAGGGTTTGGCGACTGCCGGGGCATGCACAGCAATCACCCCACAAAAGACTGCACAACTGCACGATGCTGCATACCCGTCCACCGTGTCTCCTGAAGGAAAACAGGCCCTCGCTGGAGAGCGAAGAACAACCACATGAAGCAATACGTAGTTTTAGGCAACAAAGACAAGGAATTATGTAATTTTCATACACACACACACACACACGCACAGACTAGTCTGCGCTTTGCATGTTATTTTGCGCTTCTTTTCATGACTTTGAGGTCCGGTTTTCTCGTCGGTTGAAAGCAGAGGGATTTCCCCATGAATAACCATCAAAGGACGACGGTTCCCCCCTACCCACCCACCCTTTGCTAGTATGGTATTTTTGAGTGCTTCCAAGTAAAGCCGTGCTTTTGGTATCCAACAGAAGAACCGAATACGACCGCTGGTTAGGAATCAAGGGAATGCGCCACCGGGGGACGAACGAAGCACGTGCAAACACACAGAAAACAGAACATGGGCTGGGTGTGTTGTTTTTTGGTGTTGGCACCCTTTTTGAAGGTTGTTTTGAAGGGAATGCAAAGGAAACCTTTGGTCAATTTGGGGTTTCGCCATTTGGAGACGAACCCCGCTGGTCAGCTGCTTTGTTTACCGATTGAAGGATTTCTGCTTGGGGGGCTGTTCACAAGGTACCATAGGAGAAGGGGGTCAGCCCATTTCGGCCATTGCCAGGCAAGAAGTTCGACTGCTTCAGCGCCTCGGCTTCTCTTCGCGCCATTTCGCGGTTGGCGCTTTTTCTGGGGCGGAGGCCCCGCCCCATAAGCAGTGGACCTGGGAGAGAGGCTTAGCGGCTTAGCCCTTGAACCCAAGTTGAGCTTGGTCTTCCCTTCCGTTGGGGAGAGTGGATAAGCTTTATTAACCTAAAGAAAGGGGACCCGACATCAATTCTCCGCCCAAACGATTTTGCATGCTCCAACAATGAAGCCAATTTGATAGGTCCTTTGGCTTGAACACCTCGGCTCTGACCCGGATTGATGCAGCTCTTGGTTTCTCTTTCTCATGTGGAAGCGAGGGCCTCGATTGCTGATACGCGTCACATACCAGTGCACAGAGTCTAGCGAGCTTACCTGGGGGCGGTACATGGATCTCAGCCATGAGAGCCGCTTGCTGGATTCCTGAGCTCAGGTTGGTGATTTGCAACTTGCCCTCGCGCAAGATTTTGCAGTGGCTCAAAAAACTGGACCAAAATGGGTTGCCCTGGTAAGTGGAAACATGGACCACACCTGCGGTTTGCCCCTCCTGTATAATTCTGAGCCACACCCAGATCTTGCCATGGCGCTGCACGGTTTCTTGGGTCCCACGGCGTGGTCTGGTTTTCGTTCTCTGGGGGCCTCCGAGGCGAGCCGAAAGCCGAAGCGCCGCACGCGGTGCGAGCCCTGTGGCGCAGGGTGGCGTCTGCCAACAAGGGGGTCCGTCATGTTGAGAAACTTTGTAGGGGTTGCCATTCAACCTGAGACTCAGAATCTGGAGTTTGGTTGCCCCTGCGTTCGGGCCCCAAAAAAGGGTGCTAGTGTCGACGGATTGGTCAGGGCAAATATGGGCTGCTTCCCCTATTGAATAAACCAGGGTAGTCAAGTGGGTTCCTCTTGCACTAGGGGCTCCACGTTCCGGGGCTGTCTTGGTCTGAAAACCTGGGTTCGGTTCTTTAATCCTTGGGATCCCGAACCCCCCACAGAGCAAGTTAGGACTGGGAGTCGCGCTGGGTGTCAGCCATGTCGAGATGTAGCTTGAGATGGCCGCCGGATGAGCAGCACCCCAAGTTGCTGGCCGTTTCAGTTGGTGGTTCTACCTCTTTTTGTGCTCACGTAAACCTTTATGAACATCTTGGTACCAGAAAACAATGGGTTTCGGGCGCTCAGATGGCCAGTGGCAGAACAAAGAGCTCAACCCTTTTCGGCACGGAGAAGTAAGATTGAAGGGTGGGGCGAAGAACCATGGCAATGGGAGACGTCCGTCGGAGGAGTGCCACTTCACAAATTTTACGGAAGATCATGTGCCATCTCGAGTCACGAGGCTTTCAGCCTTGTGCCAAGCAACTGCCCGTGTGACTTGATTGACTTGTGGCACGAAGCATGATGCCACTAGGCAGGCCCTCCTAGAAAATTCTGGTCTAGCTGCCGTCAGCCGTTGCCAACTCTTCAATGTCTGCTTGCAGACTTGCAGCGCCTGGGCATTTTGGAAGACACCGGAGAGTTCCCTTTGTGTCGGGTCTGGAAACGAGTACCCTTTGAGTACCCAAGAATGGGTCCACAGATTCGGCCCCAGGGCAAAGTCCGCTTCGCATCAGATAGTAGGTGGTTCATCCCAGTACTTATTGGGTTTTAATCATCCCAACTGGTGCAGGATTTTGTCCATCCACAGCGTGACTGAATCACGTTAACTGTTCACCAAGGCGGTCCAACACGGCTGCAGCATTGTTTCCACAAGCCGATTTAGAGGATCCCCCTGGATGTAGCCTTTGACAGGGGGCGGGGGGGGGGGGGGAATCGACGACCTGAACAAAAGTCGGTCGTTTAGGCGCTTTTCAGCGTCCCAGTCGCGCACCAAACATCAACGGGTTTCGGCTAAAGAATCTATCTAGGCAGACTAGTTCACGAGCCTACCGATCCGACGGTAAAAGGAGCGAATTAGCCCAAGAATATCCCTGACTTCGGGAAATGTCAGGTTTGTGACTTATAATACTTTGCCCAGATGCAGGCCTAATTTTCCCTTGTCCACTACAGATGACTTTGGCCATGCAGTACCTATTCAAATTCCGCACCACATATGACGGTCAAAGCTTCCAGCAGGGAGGGACATAGGGGACTCACATTGGCAATCCCCACCAAAACCAGGACACGCACTACGTTTTCCTGTGTGGGAGATGGCGCCTGTGTGTGATCCAGGCTCACCTAGGGCACTCCGGGGGGCTGAGGCGGACTCCGGGGAGTTCCCAGTCTGCGAGCACACTGGGCAATGCCCGGGCGCGTAGAGACAGGGTTCCCATGGAGGACCCCCTTTTGGTTGGTATGCCAGGGAAACTGAAGGAAACCAGCCATTTCAGGGGAGCCCTATTTTGAGAAACACACATATCTCCATATAGAGCGGCTTAAACATCACCTGTCGGAGCAGTTTGAAATGAGTTTCCTTTTGGTGGGGTGATGTTAGAAAAGGAGGTATGGGGGAACCCTGAGAGATTGTCGACTAGAGCGGCGATTCGAGTGTTGCACAAATCTACCAGGGCTGAGCTGCATTTGTGTTAGGGTTCATGACCTGAGTGGCAAGCTCTTCCCGCGATTGTTGGTGTCACTTTTGGTGGTGGGATGGGGCTGTGAGGGTGAAATTGTAAAATTAAGTGCAGTCGGAATGTGCCAGACGAGCGAGAATTGCCCAGCATTCGCCCAGCATTCACACAAATCTGACCAATCTTGTGGGCGAGATGTGGATCCCTTTTGAACTCACGGGTGTTCAACTCCAGCACTGGGTTTCCCGAAATCATTCTGTGCAATAGGAGTCCGTTTTGGATCCCCGCCTTCGCCTTTTAACTTGGGAGCAGCGCAGGGGTACATCCTGGACGGTGATGTTACCAGCCCTTCGCTTTCTTTGAATCTACCCTCCAGTCTCGGAGGACAAGGGTTTGAGGTTTCTCTAATCAGAGAAGTTCCCTCCCAAATCAATGCCCTGACCAGTTTTTGTTTTTTGTTTTTTTAACTGAGTATGGTCCTCCGCAGTCCGAAGCGAACATGAGCGACCTGTTTTTTTGGTTGCTTTCTGAAGCAAAGAATCTCCGCTTTTCAGAGGGGTCCAACTGGTTTTGGCACCTGGTGGGTGCCCGACGTCCAGTCTCCCCTTGGACCCCGGCCGTAGGCCCCAAGTTGGGAGCACTTTTTGTCCGATCCCTGGGATTAGATGGGCTTGTGTCAAGCCAGTTCTTGTTTGTACCGGGTTTACGGTTTCCGTTCTTATGTTCCCCAATGGTCGTCCACGTGTAAATGGCGAAACCAAACTGTACAAGTTGATCCATGACCGATCGTTAGCGGCCTGCAAGTTCGGGCCGCTTAGGGACCCGCGACCCCTACAGGGTCTCAGAAATGAGAATAGGGGTTCTGGGCGACTTATTTTAACTTTTGAAGTTACCCCAGAACCCCATTCTTAGCTTTAAAACCACTTCAGTTATGAAGAAGATACCAGAACCCCATTCTAACGTTTGAAACCAGCTCAGTTCTGATTCTACAAACAATGCCTCATTTTGGTCGTCGCATGACTTTTCCCTTGGGGCAACTCCCCGGCCGCGGATTTGCCTCGGCCGCGGGTTCGCGTCGCTTTTGCGAGGCCCTGAGGATTGGGTTCAGGGGCCCGAAGGGGGCTACTTCTGCCGGGGCGCCCGAAAGGAAAGCGAAAGGACCGGTTTCGGCCTTGCTGTTTGTTTTTGTTTTTGTTTTTGGGTGGGTGGGTGGGTGGGTGGGTGGGACCGGTTTTGGAGGGGTGGGGGGAAGTGGGGAGGGGGTTGGGAAGGGGGAGGTTGGTTTGGTTTTCCACAGTCTTTGGCTCTTTTGGATGAATGTGGAGGGCAATAGTGGCAAGCCCCTTTCATTCAGCCACCATCAAGATCTGGGCAGACATGAAGCTTCTTAGGTGCGTTTGAAGATGGTCCAAGAAGAGCACTCAGTTTTTGCCACTTTGCGGGTTTCTCTTTATTGGCTTTACATGGCAACTGGTCCATGTTCACAAACCGGCACCAATTAGGCGAAATGAAGGTAATGGGCAAGCCCCCTCAACACATAGACAAGGCGGCCCTTTTGAGCTTGTTGCACGGTTGTGGGTGGACTCTTCCCGTTCGAAGTTTGTCACCGCGGGTAGGCCTTCAAAGGTTTCGCTTCAAAGGCGGACTGACAGTTGGCGGCTGGGGACCCCAACCAAAAATCTTGAAGACAACCCGTTTAGAGGATCCCGAAAACGAACTGGAGCGTTAGGGTTGGGTATCTTCAGTGGCATTCTTCCGTCTTTCTGCCAGACCTCGTGCGCCCCAGGACTTTTAATAAGCCAAAGTGCATCCAATTTCCTGCCTCTGTTCTTTTGGCTTTCCTTAGTCAACAATGTACGACCGCAAAGCCCCCAACGACGTGGTAATACGCCAGGTGAATGCATGAGGGTTGGGCAGGTGCTTTGAGGGTTGTTGAAATGGACATGCCAAACCAATCGTGTCTGGCTCAAGCGCACATAAAACAAGTGAGTTTGCTCCGCAGAAGTCAAGGGTTTGAGACCCCCAAAACTGCTAAGGGATTACTAATTGGGGTGTCTAGCTCTTTTTGAGCGAGTTTCTTTGGTATCGTTTTGGTTTGGTTTTGGGTCCCTGATGGTTTCCTGCTGGTTTCCTCGTTTTTGTTTTTGTTTTTTTTTTCCCTGAGGGCGTTGATTCACCATTTCTTTACCCATCGGTCTCTTCAGAAGCCATCGGTCTTTTCCCCGGGTGCTTGGTGCAGAAGACAATGCTTCCGAAGAAAGGTCCCTTAGAATGGACTTTCCGGAGGGCACGGCTTTCCAGTTGAAACTCTTAGAGCATCTTTTCCACTTAAGGTCCTCATAAAGACCTTTGTGAGGCTAGACTACCTTGCAGCGAGGCAGGCGCAAAACTGTGCCTCCGGCAAAACTTTGGCCAAGTTCTGCCTTCATAATTTTTGGCGGCACTGCCGTCATCGAGAACGACTAGAGAGTAAGTTGAGGTTTAGGGCTCACAAGTTCCGGTTCGCAGTTTTGACTGGCAAGCTGCGCCTGCGGAGTGAGAAGGCCCGTGAGCCAGTGAGCTATTGCCGGATGATTTAGAAGCAAAGGCCCTCAGGCTGGAATGCAACCAGGCTTCTCCACGCCCAAGATGCTCAAGCCCTTAGGGCCTCAGGGTAGATGCTGAACGGCTTCCTGCAGCCTGTCACCTGGGAGTTTAGCTTTCCAGCCTGCCAATGTCTTGGGCATGTAGCGGCGTCCGCGGCGCTTGAGGGGCCTCAGAATGATCCACTTCAAGTAGCTTCGGTTTTCTGGTCTCAAGGTGTGGGAATCTCCCAGGCCCGTGGGTTTTTGCACATGGACATATGGGTTTGTTTCTACTGGGGGTGCACTCAAAATTTTGGGGTCAGGTTTGCCTTGGGTTTCTCTTTGAGCGCAACCCACGAAGGGGGAGGGCAAACCTATATCAAAAATCAAATAAGGGCTTATGGGTATGTAATGGTCCCGCCTCAAGCAAGTCACGTGATTCTGAGGCCAGACTTCAGAGGCATCTGGGGATTGGGATCTCGGGACGGTGCGGGATCTCCGATTTCCCCTTTCGGTTTGACCAGACAATTGCGATTTCTTGGCTCTTTGGTTTTCACCCACATGCTCGACGACCCTTCCCCCCCCCCACTGGCTCTTCATTCTCTTTGGGGGCTGCAGAAAGTTTAAATCTGTAGGGGACTCTCCAATTTAGCTGGAGTTTGGCAATCAAAAATTGGAAAGGTGTACGGCCCATGAACTACGCAACATATGCGACAGCTACAAAACTAAAACTTTCAATCAGGGTTCATTTTTCAAACTCGAACCTAGCATTGAATCTTGCCTGCTGTCTCTTTAGTGAAGGGCAAAGATGTCAGACGTTCAAGGCGCCCAGAAACGTTGATGTTTCAATGTGTTCAAGATAGTCGCACATGCAAATTTATGAGACGTGTGCCCCCACGGAAATCGGGTAGGTTCTCAAAAGAACGACAGGCTTTGCACAAATGAGAACGAGCTCACCTGATAAACGGTTTTTACCTGTGATGAAGGCTCTTTAGGAGATTCCTTGTGTCCAGTTTGTCAATCATAGCAACTTGCCCAGATGCCCAGATTCAGCAGCTTAATTGTGATTTCAGCAGGTACCCGCCCCCCCAAGTGGAATGAATTTGCACACGGGCTCGCCAAAATGGGGAGAGGTCTCCGTTGTTGGAAATAACTGCAGCTCGTTCCTTCGTTGCCCAGGAGCCATCATCGATTTTGGGGGTTTGATTCTGCACTAGAGGTTAGTTAGTTTTCTTTTTTGTTTTCTCCTCAAGGGGGTCTGTACTGCTTTTGCGGGTGCTTTTGGTTGGGTGAATTTGAAGGGATTTCACTGGGAGAGCACCCATGTAAAGGGGTGCTTTGTTTTCAAACGAGGAGCTTGTACACAACATCTGTAAGTCGTACGTCCTGCTTTACCAACCTATATGTTGGTGGAATATATGTCTTGAGCCGAAAAAAAACACCATACCCTCAGAAAACCGAATGGTTCTCAAGGCCTAGCACCCCGCCTCCCCCCAAATCCCAACAGTGCCCGCAGTGTCGAAGCTCTTCTATTCCTTTCGAGGCCTTTCCAGGCAATTTGCACGGGCCCCGGGCCCCTCACAGATGTTATATAGACAAAGCGGGCCTGAGAAGGTCCAGCATTTTGCTAGGGTCACCTGGTTGTTCCAAAAATGAAACGCGCCCATTGGGGCGACATCCTCGAAATGAGGGCTTGAAGAGAAACCACCCCCAAAGCTCAACACATTCCCGTTAAGGAACCCGGAAAAAACTGCACCGCACTGCGTCCTTCGATCGCGCAGGCCAAGGCGGCCCACGCGTGCCGTCCGAGCCTTCAGGGGCCCTTCCCCTTGGCGGATTGCACGGAGCGGGTCGCGTTGCGCACGAGGTGGACCTTTCAACAGGGTCCCTAGGATGGAGTTGGGCCAGAACAGCCACCTTTCCCGGCTGATTTGGGGGATCCCCTTCAAAAGCGGATCGTTTTGGGTGCAGTTTTTGAGGGACCCTGTTTAAGGTGTGTGAATGAAATTACATTAACGGCAATATAGCAATATATCAATGCAATGTTGATGATTCATGATTTCTTATTCCTTTGCTGTACTGTTAGTTTTTCCTGATTGATGAAACCTGTCGAATTTTATTGGGGGGGGGGGGAGAGGCCCAATCAAGAGGGGATGTTTCACCTCAGAAAGATGGCTAGATGATGTTCGGGGATTGCCTTTGGGTAACCCGGTTGTTCAGTGGATTTCCACGAAATCCCATTTGTTTGGTGGTTCAAAACCCACACGCAAGCTTGAAACTCTAAAAAAGGTTGCCTTTTCTCACCGTGTGGGTCACTGGTTGCAACTGGGATACTGCTGACTCCAGATCAAGCCCCCCTGCGCATTTAACGGGGGGCTGTCCAAAGCCCCCTGCTTTAAACCAAAACTTAGCCTCTATAAATAGGGGGGTCTGTCGTTTTCGCCGTACCCGAAAATAAAAGCGTAAACAATCACGTAAATAAATCAAGCTTTCTGGTTGGCCTGGCCCTTAACAGGAAGAGTCCGTAAATAATATGGTAAATAGCGAGGTAAATTAATTGTAATTCATTTTCGCTTGCCCGATCTTGAGTGATCCTGCGTGAGCTGGACTTAGTGTCCCTCATGGACAGGGATGTGTATTGGCGAGAATCTTCCCCTTCGTGAATTTAACCTGCTCATATCACTGAAGGAAGGCAAAGCGTCATGAGTCATGAACCATTGGAAGAGCCGCGACAACTTTGACATGAATGTTCATGCGTACTGGTAGCTGCGAGCCACAGTTTTTGCTCGCGAGCATGTGTCGCGTTGGCAAAGCCAAAAAGCTCCGGACGCAAAAACGCGTGCGCCCATGCTTGCGCTTGGGTTGCGTTGCCATGCAAATAGGCAGCCAGAACTCCCACCAAGATACATGTCAATTTGTGTTTAGTGATCACGAGAAAGGAGATGTTGTAGGAACCGAGGACTAGGAACACTGCGTCTTGTCAAAGAACGTCCGGTATCCGGCCATTGGTTATGCCAGCTGCGTGAACAACATTAAGAATATTTTGAGGGCTCTTTCCAACAATCAAGACTTAGTCAGCTTTTTGTTGGGCGACCTTGCGAGGGCCAATCTTGAAGAACATCAAGATTAACGTCTATATTCCTAACATGCACCTGGCGCACAGACACACAGACACCACCCACACACACAAACACACATGCACACACGACTCTACGAGGTTGTCTCCGCGTGGCCGCTGATCCAACCAGTCAGGAGTTGCAAAGGACGATTTTAAGCCTTGCCTTCTTGCAGCTTTGCTTGCCGCGTTGTGGTACTGTCGCGCGTTGTTTTTTTGTTTTTTCTCTTTGCCGCGGCTTCGCCTCGTTTGTCCGCAAGACCCAGGGAATCCAAGAACCGATTCCAGAAACCCAGTTGAGCAAAGGCCGGCAAAGAGGAGCGATCGACGCTGTCACATGTGCACGCCAGTTCTGCGGACGGACCTCCATGCTCAAAATGTGTCCCCTGAACGGTTCAGAACGGTTCAGCCAGCCTTTTTCTGCGTAAATGGTTGCGTAAATTTTCGCGTAAATTTCAGACAAGTCTTTGCCTTTTTGTGCTTTGAGATTTCGGATCGCTTGCGATGTTCCGATGCCGGCCTGACCTTTTACCTAGGACTAGGAACCGCCAGCCGCGTGCTCGCGAACCGTTCCGAGGAACGGTGGCAACCAAACTGCATGCCCCTGAGCCGTTCTGAACCGTTCCGAAAGCATTGGAACGCGTGCCCCTGAACCGTTCTGAACCGTTCCGGAGGCATTGGAACCCATGCCCCTGAACCGTTCTGAACCGTTCTGGAGCCCATCTAGGAAGCAGCGCACAGAGCAGGCGTATAGTTCAGAACCGTTCTGAACCGTTCTGAACCGTTCGTCACTCAAGCTTCCCAGGAACTGTTCTGAACCGTTCAGGAGGGATTGCAGCATCATACTATGAACCGTTCTGAACCGTTCAGCAGTCACGGCAGCAGCATACCCTGAACCGTTCTGAACCGTTCAGGAAGAATTGCAAGCAGCATGCCCTGAACCATGCTGAACCGTTCAGGAGGGATTGCAACATCATACCCTGAACTGTTCTGAACCGTTCGGAGACATTGGAGCTGCGTACCTAGGAACCATTCCGAAGATTGCAACAGCATGCTCAGGAATTGCCCTTGCTTCTGCTCACGCATGCTTAGGCTTACCAACCACGTGTTTAAGACCTAAGATGTTTGGCCTCCTAACATTCGCACGGTAGCTGCTAAGGATTTAACAAAGATCATTCAATCAACACCTTGGGCGCTTGTTATGGAGATGGGAGGGGCGCGTTGGAGCCTTACCTTCTTTTTGCCAATGTTTTTCCATGGGCTTGTCTGATTGTGCGCCTTTTATGTCTGTTCAGGCCTGTTACATGGCAAATGATGCAGCTTCCAGCTTCCAACACTGAGGCACACATTGTTTACATGATATTTTGAGTGTTTCTTTAAGGCCTGTTTTTGTTTACATGAATACTTACATGAAGAGTGACGTGGTTTGTTACATGACTATTGGCCGGTTTTAACCTCCACAGAGATAGAGGCTAAGTTTTGGTCTAACCCCTGCTTTTTGACCACGATTTGTGATATGAGCAAGGGATCTGGCCAAGGGGCTCGTTGTTTTTTGGGTATTGCTTTTGGTCCATTTTTATACGTGTGGTATTGGTTGCGAGTTGAACGTGTGAGTGTATTGGAAGGAGATTCGGGCCAAGGACACCAGCTTTACGGCTGGGGATTTTTTCATCCGAGAGTAGTCCTCCTTGTTGCGGTTTTTCCTTGGCGCTGTTCTACCGTGGCTTTTCCTTGATTGCTTACTTGGGTTTGCCTTGAATGGTTTATCTTGGGTGGGTTTAGTTTTTGTTTGAGTGGTTTTAATGTTATTATTGCGCGGAAAGACCACTCCAGTTTGGGAAGTTGTGTAAGGGCAACCAACAGAACTCGCACATACAGGGAAGCTGACATGTTTCTTACACAAGCAGCGGCTGACCAATTCGGGACGTCCTCCCTTGCTTGGCGACGAGGGGTCCAGGTTCTGACTAAAACGACGAACAGCCAACATTGCATTTTTTGTTAAACACATATTTTGGGGGCGAGCGTAAGGCTATTGGACGGGAGGGCAATAATAGAACCAAATGCAAACACTGTGAAGTGGCCAAGTCAATTCTTTTCACAAAGCTCCAGTTCAGCCAGTGGAGATCCGATTCGATGAATCTGGCCGATGAACTGGCACATTTTCTTTTGGACCGGTAACCCTGATTTGGTGGTTTGGATTGGGTTGGGGGGTCAAGCCGCCAAACTAAGCCACCGAGGGCCAAGGTGAACCACGGGTTGTTCATCCAGGGGCCCCTTCTGCAAGTGCGACATGTGGACAATTCTCCCGGGCAATCAAGCCCAAAGAGGCCCGAATTATTATTCGGCCAGATGTCTCTCCCTTTCTCTCCCTCTCTGTCTCTGCCTCTCTGTCTCTCTGTCTCTCTGTCTCTCTCTCTCTCTCTCTCTCTCTCTCTCTCTCTCTCTCTCTCTCTCTCTCTCTCTCTCTCTCTCTCTCTCTCTCTCTCTCTCTCTCTCTCTCTCTCTCTCTCTCTCTCGCCCTCTCTTTCTGTCTCTCTCCGCAGGAGCAGTGCATTATTGGCACCGTTCTGAGACACTTGGCAGCACGAGCCGGACCCTGCCAGAAGGCTTGAGCTCTTGTCGCAAGTGGAATTTCAGCATTGCGCCAACACTCTTCTGATTTAGCATTCGCACACGTCATGTTTCGTTTGGGGCCTCTTTCTTTTTCCTTTTTAGGTGTGCGTTTGAATCTGAGCTGTTGGACTCCGGTGGCTCCTGGTTTCCAGGGTTTCTTCTTCCAGCTGAGAGCCTTGGGGTTTCTGCCCATCTTCCGGAGTCGAAAAGCCGCCCTGGGCATTCGAATCTTCCGGGCGCCTGCTGGGCGCCGGGGATAGCCCGTGGCGATTTGCGTCTCAGTTGACCTCTGGCAAGGCGTCTCGGTCCCAGGAGCCGAGGACCAGCCGGAACTTCTCATTCGGCTCCCAAGTTCGGAAGTTCGGCTTCCTTTGGGGGGGAAAAGCCTGCGTCTGTGGTTCCGCAGGCAGTGTTTTCCGATCAAGACCAGCTGGCGATCAGAATGCGTTTATGTTCTTCTTCTTTTTGTTAAAACAAAGAAAAAGCAACAACTCAAGTTCACCCCTGAGGAAGAATTTCCAGCCATCAATCCACGTGCACGCCCCGGGAAGTACCGAATCAAACCATCATGGACGTGGGGGGGACAACAAGTAATTTTGACCGTGGAACTGAGGAGGGATGGCTATATACTCTTGATACTGCCTTACTAGAGGCTTATCCTTGGCTTATCCCAGGCTTGTCCAGGCATAGACTGACCCGATTGGTGGCCCAACAGTCATTCACGGCCCTTGTCGAAGACGGAAGTGGCATCCGCCTTAGATCATTAAAGCCACGTAATATCAGCTTCTAAACACAACACTCCCCCCCAGACGAATGAATATTGAAACACAGCAACCCATCCATCTTGCGAGGACTATTCTTTTCTAGGTATATTTTTCTTCGCTTCCATTCGGAATGTAAATCTGCGGGGCCAAAGAATTATGATCATGTTGCTCCGTTCATGACTTAGTTTGGTTTGAAAGTAGCCCACCCCGATATATGAGATATATATATATATACTCTCTTATATATGCTTCGGGCCCTCATAGTACCAGCCACACCTCTTTGCCGAGGACCGAGCCAACTGAAGGCCGCGGCTTCCGCGCAAACCGGCAATGCGTCGCTGGAGGAAACGGAGACCACGACGCTGGCCGCTTGGCTGGCGGGGTTCACTAAAGCGTTAGCAACCGTGCTGCAAGGGTTGCAGGGGGCTTACTGGCCACTGAGCTAATTCCTGGCCTTCTTGCCCCCAAACCACTACCTCAAGGGAGAAATGGGTTTAATCTTTGCTCTTGATTAATAGGGGGGCCCCCCCCCCCCCCGGTCCCCCCCCCCTACAACAAGCCTGGGTCCAAATTGTGGGGGGGTGGACGGGGGGAGGGGGGGATGGGAAGGCAGAGAGACAAGAAAGAAGAAAAGTGAAGGGCAATTTAAAATTAAATTGAAGGTGCAGTTTTTTTGTGGAATTCTGGTTTGTACATGGCATTTATTCTGAGGGGGTTTTATTATTGTAGGGGGTAGTGTAGGCCTGGCAGCTGGTTTGTGTTGCTAACCATTAATGTGAGGGGTGTTATTATTGTAGGGGTGGTGTTTCTTGTGTGCAAGGGGCTGGGCTGAAGCAGTGCAAGCACTGGAGCAGGCAATGGGTGCAGCCATGGAGCAAGACTTGTAGCAAGCAGCAGCTGTAGAACAGAAGCAAAAGTGCGTGGTGTAGCTACAGGGCCAGCTGTGGAGCTGTTGTAGCCATGGCTGAAGACGATGGAGCTGAAGATGTGGAGGCCAGCTGGGTGGGAGCCGGGCTGCAGCAAGCAGGGTAGGGCTTTTGGAGATGTTAGGTGAAGGGCTTGTAGACAAGTTTGCAGTTGTGCGCTGCAGCCTTTTTGTGCAGCTTTTGCAGGTGCTGTAGCAAGTTCAGTGCAGAGCCATGATCGCTCTCCTTGCAGCCTTGTTCGGTGCAGCCTGTGGTGCAGTTGGAGTTGGCATGCAGATGAGGAAGGAGGTGCAGGACTTGAAGAAGCAGCTGCAGGCCATCGCAGCACCAATGGAGTCATTGGAGATGCTGTGCCAGGAGTTGAAGGCACAGCAGGGCTCAATGGAGACTGCGTGCAAAGCCATGGAGCTGCGGCAGGATTGCACTGCAGGCCTTGTGGGCGATGCAGCCAGGCACATGCAGCGCGCGATGCAGGAGTGGAGCAGCAGCCAGAATGCTATCTGGCTGCAGCGCCAGCTCAGGCCCATCCTGGAGGGCTGGTGCAGAGCCTGCAGGGTCTGCGGGGAGGATGCGCAGGTGGGCTGGAGGTTGCTTTGCAGCGAAGTGTGGTGCAGGGCGCTGCGCGATGCCTGGGCCTCTTCCTTGGAGGGCGATGCAGAGGCGGTGCAGGAAGCGGTGGACGCACTGAAGAATATGAGGCTCTGCAGGTGGGCAGGCTGGAGGCCTCAGGCCGGTGCTCCTGCAGGAAGCAAACCAGCACTTGCAGGAGCCTGCAGGTGCAGTCATCTGGGTCTTGAGTGACCAGATCCTGGAGCGCATGCAGGAGTTGAAGTCCTTGGCGAGCAGCATGCAGCAGCGGCAGATCTCGGCTCCGCAGGTTCCAAATGTAGGACTGCAGGAAGCGCTGGCTCTTCAGGTTTAGCTGCAGACAGGTGTAGCTGCGGACTAGGCTTTTTGTAGATTTTTTGCAGCCATTGGAGGCCCGACTTGGAGACTTGCAAGGAAAAATGAGCACTGTGTACAAACACACAGTGCTCATTTTTCCTTGCAAGTCTCCAAGTCGAAGTCGGGCCTCCAATGGCTGCAAAAAATCTACAAAAAGCCTAGTCCGCAGCTACACCTGTGACTTGAAGGAATAATTACTGGAAGACCTACAAGGGCTGAAATGTTTGTGTTGTTTGTTTCACACTGCTGGTTCTTTATTCCGGGGTGGTCTTGTTATTGTAGGGGCTTCCTCTTTGTAGATATGGCAGTGCAGCTTGCTTTTCATTGCAGGCACGCTTGCTGGCAGAGGATGCTGCTGCTGCGGCCACCATGCAGTTTAGCGGACAAAATGCAACTGTGCGAGCAGTCTGCAGCAAGGGCAGTCTTTGCTGTGAAGAAGCTAAAGCTATACTCAAGCATGAAGAGGACTGTAGTATGACAGTGCAGGAATGATTTTTCTGGTAGCTAAAGCGTGCAGGAGCATAGTTGTAGGGGGGTTGCTTTGATGTGGGGGAGGCAGTGCTGGAGTCCAAGAAACCTTGTGTTTGTTTGCTTGGCCACCGGGTTTGAATTGCAATTAGTCGAAGGAAGTTTAGAAGTCTAACTTCCGACAATATCGACAACTCAAGCAGAGCAGTGCAGAGCGAGAGATAGAGAGAGAGAGAAGAAGAGATGAAGAAGCGATGAAGAAAGATGAAGAAGCGATGAAGAAAGATGAAGCATGGTGTGCGAAATGTTAGAAAGGTCGCGAAATGCTGTATTTTTCAATGTTTTGAGCCTCCAGACGGCCCAGAAGTTACTTCGGTAAAGCGGCGGGTGCGGAGCCTTTGGTCGGAATTGCTGGCAAAAAATCGCACGCGGCCTGCGCGCGGTGCACATTTGGAAGTCAAAATCGTAAAAACACTACATGCTCGGGCTACTTTTGGAAGCTCCAACTTTCAAAAATCGCACGCGGCCTGCGCGCGGTGCACATTTGGAAGTCAAAATCGTAAAAACCTGAGAGGGTCGGGCTACTTTTGGAAGCTCCAACTTTCAAAAATCGCACGCGGCCTGCGCGCGGTGCGCGTTTTTAAGATGCAATGTAGCTTGACAGCGGTAAAACGCATTGGAATGGCAACGCGCAAGGCTTTTATCTAACTTGGAAAAATGCGTGGCGCCTGCGCGCGGTGCGCGTTTTTAAGATGCAATGTAGCTTGACAGTGGTAAAACACATTGGAATGGCAACGCGCAAGGCTTTCATCCAATTTGGAAAAAATGCGTGGCGCTTGCGCGCGGTGCGCATTTCTAAGATGGAATGCAGCTTGGCAGTGGTAAAACGCATTGGAATGGCAACGCGCAAGGCATCCTACGCTGCCCTGTTGAGTTAGTCGCGCTCTAGATAGATAGACAGACAGACAGATAGATAGATAGATAGATAGATAGAAAGCTGGAAAGATAGACAAGTAGACAGATAGATAGGAGGTAGACAGGCAGATAGATAGGTAGATAGACGATAGCGCTGTGACCGTGTCTTTCGTCAGTTGCTCCGCGTATGTCATGTTTGTTCAATGTCCCGGTTTTCGTCACCAGCATCACTAGCATCACCACCACCACTGTTCATGTTTGTTCATGTCCCGGCTTCAATCGCGGAGCGGCAACTCACATCACCACCACCACTACCACCACTACACTTTCACCAGCACTCCCACCAGCACCACACACAGGCCGAGAACATGTTAATGTTCTAGTTTGTTGTTTGTCACCAGCCGACCTACCAGCATCACGCTCAGGCGGACAACCTCTTGATGTTTTTTTTTTAGTTTGTGTTCCCACAGAACGCATATACTTCCACAGACACATGCCAGTGACATCGTTTCCTTGTGTATCCCGCACGGTGGAGCGCGTCTTTTCTGACCGCTCCGGACGCCATGGCAGACGCATTTGATAAGACGGTGGCGTTTTTGGCAGCCTACTCGCAGGAGCTTGTGCAAATGAAGAAGCCGACGCTTACAGCTTTGCTCAACAGCAAGCGGCGCAGTCAGGTACCAGAGTGGGAGCGAGCCAGAAATTTCTGCAGACGAAAACTTTCAAGCTTGGAGCCAGCTCAGCAGCAGATTTTGGAAGACTGGGAGTTTGTGCTTTGTGACAAGTCCACGTTGGAGGCTGCGCCTTTTCTGGCCGGCCTTCAATGCTGTTTTTGCCGCGTGGAGGCATTTTTGACAGAGACGGCAGAGGCGATAAGATACTGCCGGGCAGCGGATGCCAGAGGTGTCCCAATCTGCCGCGGCCGACGTGGAGGACACCGCGCTGTGCTTGGTGCTGCCTTGCGATGCCCCACTAGGCGTGCTCTTTCAGCCAGGTGCGCAGACGCTGTCTCGGCGCGGGGTGGACTGCTTGCTTGACGTTACTTCGGACGCGACCTTGCTTTCGTTCCGGGTCATACAGAGCGCGGAGGACGCTCAAGGCTTGATTGCCTACGCTAGCGAGTTGCTGGCATCTAGTCGGGAGTTGCAGCAAGAGCTTGCAGCGCTGCAGCGTATGCTTGTTGCCGCGGAGGTTTTTCCGGAGTTGCCTCTTGGTGGTATGCCGGCCATGGCGCTCTTCCAGTGTCTGGTCTTCCTTTACATGTGGTCGGTGCTCACCTTGAATTATTCATTTTTGCTGTCCAGCACCTTCTTAAGACTGGTGGCTTTGCCGCTGCAGGAGGCGAAAAATTTTGATATCTTGGCCGTGGTGCACAAGTACTGCTACGTCACGTGGCTCCACCGGACGGCGCGTCCGAGCTGCTGGCAAGGCAACGCTCTCCGCTTATTGCTGCCAGACACTGCCGACTGGGAGGCTTGGTGGGCGGCGCAGCAGGACGTGGCGCACGAAATTGATGAGACTGCCTTCTCGGAAGAGTACGCGCTTATGTGCAGGGATCCTTTGATCCCCGAGGGCTACCGGGCAGACTTGAAGCAGGTGCGGCGCCATGTGGCTGCTTCCGATCTCGGCTTGCTGCCGGAGCTTCCGCCGCGGCAGTCCTTTATGGAGCACGATGTTTACTTGGAGGCAAGCGGCGCTTTGCCCTTGCCGAGAGCCTTGCCGGCCATTCGATGCTCGGCCGGGGCGATGGAGGTGAACTGGGGCGACAACACTGGTGAGCCCCTAAACACTTCGCGGGACAATGTGATCTCCGAGACGGATGTCTGCTTGCAAGTCCCGTTGCCGGTGCCTGCAGATATGACTTTGGGGCACGTCCTGCTTTCAAGGGACTGGCGAGCCTCTTTCGAGCAATCCAATCTCGGCATGCCTTGGTGGATGTCAGACGCAGGCGGCTTTTCTGCCCCTGCTGCTGGCCACGCAGGCGGCTTTTCTGCCCCTGTCTCAGCCCTTGGAGCGCAAATCCACTTGCAAGCTTTGGGAGCTGAAATCATGGCCACGCTGAGGCCCGACAGTGTGATGCATCCACACTTGCGAGCACACGTGGAGCTCATGCTGGGCATGTGTGCTTCCGTGCACTTGGCGCGCCAGGAGGCTTGGGATGTTGCCTTGTATGACTTTCTTTTAGGCTGCGGCATCAGAGCGCAGCGCACGCGTCCTGGCGATGCCGATGCCGGCTGGGTGGCGCATAACTACCGCAAGAGGCACCACGCTGCCCGCTCTGTGGTGCGACCCGTTTGCTGCACCATGTGGGGTGAAAAGTATCGCCCCATTGGATACTTAAACGATGCGGGGGACATCGAGCACTACTTGGTGCACGACACATGCCCTCTTGGAAGATGTCGCAGGCACAAGCAGCTTATGGGCTTTGGCACCGTGTGCCCACACTGGCATGGCTTCAACAAAAAACACGGCATCATGGCCACTCTGAACGCGCAGCGATACTTGAGGTACACGGAGATCGGAAGCAAAGGGGCTGACCCGCGCGCGCGAGACCAGCGGGCCAGCCAGTATCTTCGCACGCTTTTGCAGGAGTTAGGCTTTGTGGCCCGTGCGGACGAAAGAGCAGCAGACGGCGATGACCGCGTGATGCTCATAGGCCTTCCCCGCTGGCTCCCTGAGTTTCACAGCAACGAAGGCCAAGACATACCCGGCTTGGTTGCCTTTACTCCGCTGCACGCCAAAAAACACTTCGAGCAAAATGACATTGACGAGTGTCTCCAGCTTCGCACCGCGGCGCAAGAGGTGCACGATGACCTTGAACGCTTGACAAGACAGCGCTGAATGCGCTTGAGATGCGCCAGGGTGCGTCTTTTCTGACCGCCCGGCGCTTGCCAGGCCGTGTGCCTTGCAGTGTGCCTTGCCTGGCAGCATGCGTCTTTTCTGACCGTGCTGCCTTGAACAGAGACAAAGTGAATCTGCCCGCATAAAAAGGAAAAAGAGCCGGTGGGACAACGGGCGGGCGGATGGTAACAAAGGGTAAATGATGGAGGCTTAAGACTTGTCAAACATTTGCGGTCAGGCAGGCTCCCTGTCAGCCAGGTTTTCTTTCCAGTTTTTGTCCGAGCGGTGGAATAGTTGCCTGTGAAGACATGACCTGTTGATTTCTTTTGTGACCGTTTGGCCATGTTCGTCACAAACAAAACATGATTGGTTTTCAATTTGGCCCCAAACATGTTTGCCCTGGTTGTTCAAGCCTCCTATAGTGGTTCTTTTTTAGAAACTTCCGCCACCGCCTTGCGCGGTACTACTTGTATTGGGGAGATTAAAACTAGTATTCGAATTTTGGGAGTTCTGGCCTCGGAAAAGTTATTGTTCCGGGGGGATTTCTTGTGTCAACTGGGGCACCAAGACTAAACTATGTATTGGCTAATCAAAAATAAGTATTGGATTTTTTCTGGCCCGGGGCGAGAAAAAGTCATTATTCCGGGGGGATTTATTAATCAAGTCCTAAGATTACAAGGCTTCAGGGTTGAGCAATGACCAAGGCTCCGGCAACGACGCTTGCCGCTGACACGACCGCGACGGCACTGACAACGGCTTCAGCGCCAACTACGACCACGGAGGCGCCTACAACAACCACAGCGGCGCCTACGAGCGTGGCCGGGACAGGGACTACCACGACGGCGTCTGCGACGACCGCAGCGGCAACCACTGCAGCAGGGGAAACGAACCTCCACTGTCGTTTATTACTTTTCTGTTTTTAAAACACACTTGCTTTGAGTAAGTGGGCACCAACCAACACTGAGTTTATCCTGCTGACGAGTGCAGTGGAGGACAGCTACTCTAGCCACGACGGCAACCACGGGATCGACGACCACAACCACGACAACCCCGACAACGACTACAACTACAACGACTACGACAACTACGACAACTACGACAACTACAACAACTACGACAACTACGACAACTACGACAACTACGACGACCACAACAACGACGACGACAACGACGACGACAACAACAACTACCCTGAAGTACGACTGCCAGGCACATGAATCTTTTTGACGACCGTGCTGTTTTTGTTGCATGCAGCGATCTAGAGCAGATGAACATGGTGTCAAGCATGAAGCAACCTGGTTTCGGTCGCCCACCGGTTTGCTGCCGCTGGTGACCCGCTGGTGGGTCTATCAACCTGGGCAATGTTGTCTTCGGTGCTTGGTGCATTGTTTGGGTGACCCTTTGAATGGATTCAAGCCCGTTTTGCCCGCACCCTTTCCGGGGTGAGAACTACAGTGCACACACATTTTTCTCTTATGATCATGACTTAATTTGGGCTGTTCCAAGGCAAGCCTTGGTCCTTCCCTTGGGTTACACAAGGAGCCCCCTTTGTCGTGTTTTCACTTTAGGAATTATGAAGCGCCCAGTTCATTGGCAGTGGCGGAATCCACAGACGCCCAAGAACTCGGGAACGCAGGACCGTTTTTTCCTCTGCGACCAATCTCATGGCCGAACCATTTCTTTTTTTGGTCTCTGGTAGGCATTTCAGGTGAACCGCATCATGGCTCATGTGGCCAAAAGGCCAAAAACATTTCCCCGGAGAAACAGCCAACGCCTCACAGAGCCATCCTGGTGGGATTCGCCTTTTTCGTTTTGAGGCGTCTGACTCCCTGAGTTCCAGAGCCTCATGGTGTGTGCGTGTGTGTGTGTCAGCAAGTTGCTTTTTTCCGATCCACTCAGGAAGTGGGGCCGATGAAATGCTTGACCCTTGCGGGGTCTGGTCATGTTCCCGGATAGGAACCAGGCATCAGGATCCTGGGGGTGTTTTTGCGAGATGAAGAAACGCCACTTTCACAAAGGTAGTTGCCTTACAAGCCCAATTTTATACGTGGCTGACTCAGCCACACTCCGCACCTCCAAAGCCAGTTGTTTACTGGCACTCTCTAACTCCCTTGTTGTGTGGCGGGTTTTTCACTTTTCGGGTCACGAGCTGTTGGTCAGCAACCCGCACCTCCAAAGCTTCCGGAAAATGGCGAGCAGGGCGAGCTGAAGTCGTATCCCTCCTGGATCTTGGATCAGAAGGCCGGGTGCGGGCGGTGGGCGATGGTTTGCTTAGCGCGAAGTGCCTGAGGGATCCTTAAAGACAGCTCCTCAAAGAACCCCCCCCAGCAGTAAGGCCTCACTTGGTGGCTTTATTTTCCACCAGTACGGCTTCATTAGCCCTTAGCTGGGTCCCTAGGTATACCACTCCACATTCGCAACAGCCCACCAACGGAACGTGACTTTGATGTAACCTTTGACTTTTTGGTTGCAAATCATTGTGGCTTTTGGTTGCAACTTGCTGAATTTCTCAAAGCTTTCGCAGGGACCTCTGGAGGTTCCTTTCATGGGGGGTCATTTCTTGTTTGATTGTCATTTCTTCTGCTTAAACTCAGTTCTTTTGTTCAAGGCGCCTGGCCCTTTTTGCTAGTTTCATTTCTTTCTTTCCGGGGCACAACCTCCAAACCACCAATCCAAAGCGCCAATGAGAGCGGAGCTGAGAGAGCCGCGCCTTTCCTTTCCTTTGTTTTCAACAGGATGCTTCTTGCCCCCTGAACAGCTTGGGCTACATTCTATATACATATCTACATGGCTATGCATCCGGGGTCAACCGTTGGATTTGGCGCATCTTTGGTTTTGGACAGTGGAAAACCGCCGCGTTGAATCCGCCTGGGCTAACTTGCAGACAGCTTCTCGGTACCAAACATGGCTTGGGTCACGCCAGGTAGCTGAAGGGAAGCCGCTCAAAAGGCCTGAGACAACATCCCACTTCGCAGGGTCCAGTTTGGCCAAAACGGAAGGCCAGGTCAAGAAGTTTCAGGCACAGAAAGCGCGACCTGTTTTGCTGGCTGCTAGGGCTCCGGGCCTGGCCGGACAGAGGCTTGCACTTGAGGTGTCAAAGTGGGTAGGGGGGCGAAATTAGGCGTTGTTTTTTGGTTTCCCTTTAAATGAGCCCGCGAAAATGGTACCCTCAAACTCAATGCACACCCATTTCAGCCATTTTTGCAGGGTTTTGATTGGGGCAAACTCATGGTATTCGTGAGCACCAAAAACACAGCTTGAAGCCTAGGCGACAAAAGTGGGACGCGATCCCTTTGGGATGTGCAGCAGAATCTATGAATACGCAGACAGAATGCCCTCCCCTCCCCAACGACTACTGTTTTCTTTTTGAAGAATCATTTCCGTTGGCAATGCGCAGCTCCAAGCCGTCAGTACCTCCACGTCTTCCTCCTTGGCGCCCATCCTTGATTCCATTAGCCAGGGCAACCTATGTTAAGTACCTTATGTTTGAAGCACAGCCATGTCTGCCAGCGCTTTTTCGCCGCCCGTGCCGCCCGGCTCGTCGCCCCTTCGCGACGCGCCGGGCGCCCGGCGCGCGCGGCCGCGCTTCGCCGTGGCCTGCGTGGAGGAAGGCGAGCGGCACGCGGCGCCTGCGGGGCATCCGGAGTGCACGGAGCGGCTGCGGGCCTGCGTGGCAGGCGCGAGGGTTTTTTGGGCGAGTCGGAGGTGAAACCTGTTTGGTTTCGCTGGAAAAATCATTCGGTTGGGGCGATTCCTGGTTGACCTGGTGGTTTAAGCATCTAGGGCCATCTGTTTTTGCGAAAAGGACACTTATGTTTGCGAATCGGAGGTGGAGGGTTGGCCGCTGAAGGGGAGCGGTGAGGAACGCTGGCGGCAAAAAACAGAAGCGTACTAAGTAGCCTCCTCAAGTCAGGCGTTGGCTGATCAGGCAGCCTTAGCTGGTGGCTTGGGATCGGCGGCGTGTTTCCTTTTTGTTTCTGCGTCAGAGTCTGAGGGTGTTTTCATTTCTTGTGGCCCATGGGCTTGAGCGAAGTGGGTTAGATGTGGATGTGCCTTTGGCCTTGCTTGCTCTTTTTAGTGCCCGAGGATCCCTTTGGATCTGCTTGACATGGATCCCCTTTTGGCAGATCCCCTTTCCATTGGCCTTCGGTCGCCGTTTGACGGAGCCAAAGGGGCAGGGTACGCAGTAAGTGGTTAGTACCAGAGAAATCACCCATCGAGGCCACACTTGCAAGTGCCCATGGTTTGGGTGATAGCCATGGCTGCGTAACAATTTCCAAACTTATCCCACATTTTCGCCTTTTCCCGTTTGGATTTTCTTTGTTTCCCTCTTAACCAGCCAAAAGGGGCCCGGCTCTTTGCGGGGCCCGTATCTGGTTCCTTGAGCCTAGGCGACCTTCCTCCTGGGAACCCAGGACTCATGGACCCCTGTGTCGTTTTTTCTTTTTGAGGCCATTCAAGAGAGTGTCTCTCCCTAAGGAAACCTTCCTTCAGCCAACAATTTTCAACTTGCGACCTTTCTTGGTCAGGTGTCAAGTGGTTGCTGTGGGTTCCTTCCTTTCAAAGGGCTCCCGTTGGGTTCCGGTTTGGCCTGGCCTTCGCCGGCGTCCGGCTTGGCTTCAAGAAACGGGAGAGGTGGAGCATGGGAGGCGGAGTAGGGTATGGGTCCGAATGAAGCCGACAGGGGCCCACAGGTCTTTGGTCGATGTTTCCATCTGCCAGGGTTCCATCTATTCTGGACCCACGGCCGCTTGAAAATCCGTTTGACGTTCAGGCGAGCTGGGCGGTTTGTAGCATACGCTTCCTTAGAAACTTTTCTGGAGTTTGGACCCACGAAAAGTTCTTCGCTTTCAGGAAGGCATCGAGGAACCGCTGGGTGAAGTGGAGTGATTCAGCCGGAAAACAGCCGGAAAACATGGACATACCCAGGCCTATGCGCCGGCCTTACTAGAAGCTTCTGACATGTCCCAGATGACTAGAAGGGCGATCAATAAACCACCGAGAAGACCTGAAACAAAAACCCAACACATTCCTAAGGTTTGCTCCACCAAGGGGACCTGAAACAAAAATCCAACACATCCCCCAAAAAGAAACTAAGGTTTGACCTGACCCCGAAAAACCGCAAATCAGGAGACCTGACTCACCTCGAAAAGCAACAAATCAGGAGACCTGAAAAAAAGCAAAAAAAACACCAGCCCCAAAATAACAAAACAAGCCGAAGGTTTTGTCCAAAAACGTCTGAACTCACCAAACAACCCAACAAATTCAAACAACAAGCCTAGGGTCCGCTCCAAAACACGTCAAGTCCAAACAAAGCAGCCGCCCAAAGTTTTTCCCAGAAACCCCATGGACGGTTTGCCGAGGCCTCACCATGGCGGGCCTCTGGCCCCACCTGCGGCGCCTCGAGCGGCGCCGCGCCTCCGACGCGGAGCTGCGTCTGGCGCACAGCGCGGGGCACCTGGCGCGGCTGAAGGCGGGGTGGGGGGCCGGACGTGGCGGCTGGGACCCAGCCGGCCGTTTTTTTTTTTTTTGGCGGTTGGGACGGCTGAAAGTCGACCCCATATTGCAATTCAACCAAGCGGTCAATAGGGGTGGTTTTGCAAGGCCCTGGACCTTGCAATGGTGGTCTGATTCCAAGCACCAAACCTAGTGGAAGCACCCGCGTATTTATCAACTGGGGTTGATTCATACGGGTCCGGTTCCTTAGGGTTGTAGTGGCTTTTGGTTGGTGTAGCGGTTGGATTTGAGGGGGCTTCAGACAACCCCCAAACTCGGATCAGGTTTCCTTTTGGTTCTGTTCACCCCCCAAAAATGGGGGTACCCCACAAAAAAGGCAGACTCACTGCTAAACCAAGCCCAGAAAAAGGGGTACCCCACAAGTCCCAGGAAGGGAGGCACTTGTGGGAGGCACCAAGATCAATTTTGAAGGGACCTCCTCTCTGCCATGTTGGCGAGAGGGAGGGTACCCATTAAAAAAGGCAGACCCACTTTGCTTTGTCTTGACGACAACTCGTCGCCTGATCCCCCTTGAAAGGGGGCACCAACCGGAAATGGTGGCAATATGTTTTGTTTAAGCACTTTGTTTAAGCACTTTGTTTAACTCATTCCCTGAGTTCTTGGACTTCATATGTTTCGGGATGTCCATTTTAGTGGCCTGGATTTGTTTCAGCCCACCCACTCAGGAATCCCTACCGAGAACAAGCAGATTCTATGAGGTCCCTTTTACTTCCCTTGCTGGCCGGTTCAGAGCACTTTACAAGGAGTCTGACAAAAAAAACCCTTGTTGCCTTTGATTGTGCGTCCGGCCCAAGGCGGCGGTGGCCAAAGCACGGAGGACCTTCGGAGAGTGACCTTCCAGAGAGCAAAGGTAGCCTCGGTCAGAAGGGGGCGGGTGAAGTGGTATTTGATGTCCCTCCCACCAACATGGAACTTGACATGGAACCACCGCAGGGTTGCTCGGAGCCTCCAGAAGATGACAAAACCACAAAGGGTAAAACGGTAAACCACTGGTACTTGGGTCCTTTGTTGTCCAATTCCAGGGGCAAAACATATACGCTTGTGACAGGGTCTTTGGAGTAATTACCCCTGTGACATGCAGACCTCTCTCAGGACCTTCCGCTCAGAAAAGGCACGCCGGGGCCGTTGATTGGTGGCGGTTTGCCCCCCCCAAACACACGTAGGGTTTCATCTGTCACTGGTCGCTGGTTTGCCACACTATTCATAGGTTTTCATTGCAATTCCGGCCCCACGATTTGTGGGTTTTCTCATCCATCCCAACTGGTGCGAAGCAGATTCCACGCATCAGGACGCGGCTGGTGTGGCTGCCAAGAGGAACAGGCCCTCAGGCGGAGGCGTCGGCGGGATGCGAATTTTTGTCCGGGGCAAGCATCCGAAACCATCCAAACCTCCAAGTGAGGGTTGAAGGGGTACCTGAGATACGGCTGTGTCAAAACAAGGACTCGGCCCCCTTCTGGTGGTTGGCTTCTTTTTTGTTGTTGTTTCCAATTGAACATGGTACTGTGCTCGATATACTCATGCTGCCAACAAAAAACACTCACGGTAATGTAGATTGGTGGCTTGGGGTTTTCAACACCTGGTTCTTGAATGTTCCTGATTCAACCGCTGGAGACAAGCACCTTCAACACACGCCGTATTTTGTGTGTGTTTCCTTTTTGGGGTGGTTTCCAAGGAAATCGACAAAACAAATCAAACCGTTCTGTTCCCCTCGCTTTGCAGGCAAAGGTAGGTCAGTGTTTCAAGACACGGTCTTGCGTCTCGTCAACAGGATTCAGTCACAAACATGGTGCTACAGTGTGCGTTCCGTGCTTCCGTGCATGCCCCGCCCAAACTTGAACTGCAGCTACTCCTGCGAGCTCCAACCGAGCAACAGCTCAACGAATCGCCAGACAAGGCCTAAGAAAGGGAGGACCAAGCAGTCGCGAGTCCAATCGTCGCCTGGGCTGAGCGCCGTGAAGCACAGCGTCCGGACGTTTTTTTTTTGCCAATCCACTCGAGGACACCCACGGTTCAACATTCGCGAGTTGTTTGACCTGGACTTCGCAGTTGTTTGACCCACTTGTCTAAACGTGGTGGACCCTCCAACTGCCAACTTAAACATGGGGAATCGGAATCGCCCCACATATTTGGGGCCACAAAGGGCAATGTTGACCCCAGATTAATCAACCTCTGTTTATTAGTATGGGGGTGTTCCCCCCACTAAAACCAGGGACACCCCCACATTAATATGCAGGGGTGTATTAATCCGGGGTCAACCTTAGTTTGAAGGTCCAGGTTTCGACCAGGGTCTGGCAGCCGGTTTTTTCGATCGATTTCGCGCTGGCTCGGCGCAGGAGGAGGGCGACACCTTCGTGACCGGCACGTCCCTGGAAGCCGCGCGCTTTGCCGTGGGAGGCACTCCGTCTCTGGCTTTACATAGGATGACCAGTGGAAAAAAAACATGAAAACAACAGTAAAAAAGGTGAGAATATTGATCAACCCCCACGTGTGGTTTTTGAGGGTACCTTTCTCACCAAAAGAGCCAGGACAGCCACCATATTTGGTGCCCCCCCCCCCCCGCCCCATTTGGAGACATACGCACGAGAGGTTCGTCGTCAAACAAATCCCAATTGGTCTGTCGTTCATGTGGGAGGGACATCGGGGGCACAAGAAGCTGGGGAGCCCCAACTTTCCGATGCGCTTCTGAGTTTGCTCTCTTTTTTTGGTTCGACCCTCAACCATTCTTGGAAAAGTGACTGCTTCCCCACACGCCAGCAAGCAGAACGCCGCTTCTTGCGGCTTTTGCGGATGGTTTCTGGGCTTGGCCGGCAAGTCCAAGATGTCCATTGAAAGCCCAAAAAATGGATTGGCTTTCCTTTTGGCTTGGACACCATCCAAAAAGGGTCTCAAAACGCACAGACCCAAGTAGACTGGGATCGGATACTATCAAACCAAACATCGTGACGATAGGACACTTCTGTGTGCAAGCATTGTGCCTCTTCTATTGCAAGTTTGTTGGGACATATCTTATCCCTAACCCCGAGCGAATTTGCATTTCCGGCGGCCCTTTCGTCCATCCGAGATGCTGTTGCTTGCATACCGGATTGGAACTGGATTCCCTGAACAACAGAGGGTACCCTTGTCACCTTGGTTTCAAGGAACATCAACAGTAAAGCCCCCCCCCCCCCTCCCAATTTCGTCGCAGAATCTTAACATCGGATCAATCCGGACCCTGCTACTTAGGGGAGCTGCCTAAAATAGGTAATCATTCTTTCCAAAAGGGGCTTGCCACCCCCTGATTAGCATGGTCCTCCTTTTTGATCAATTTGAAGTGAACATTGGCCAACATAAGGCGGATTTCAACGAACGAGGCTTTCGCATCAGGCCTCCTGGCGCTGGTGGACGCCGCGCTCTGCGGGAAGTGCCTTCGGGGCATGGCCTTCTGCCGGCCGCCGGGGCACCATGCAGGGGCCGAAGGACGGGCCGGCCGAAGGGGGCGTTCGATCTCAGGGACGGTCGGCCACCTCCCAAGGGATGGCTGGAGATGGTTTGGGGGAAACGCGCAGTGCAAAATGGCCACCACTAGAAAATGGAAACAAAGACCAACACCTGCGCCTCTGAATTGATGTCCTTCCGGAGGGTACGGTGTTAAGGGAAGCCAAAAGGAAAACCAGCAAGTGCGTCGATTTGGACACATACCTATGGGTTGGTTCTAGTTAGTTTCTCTTCTGAGCCATCCACAAACTTGGATCGACCAAATCTATGTAGCACCATGCAGGGGATTAGTGGTGTATCCGGTAGGGCTTCATCCATCCCAACGGGTGCAACTCGGATTTCGTCCATTTCAACCCCCTGCCAAAAGCGCCCTCCCCGTGGTCGGTGTCCCTTTGGCTTCAGATGGGTGGATTCCACCTGGCCGGGGGAGGAGCATCTAAGCAGAAGGCCTGAAACTTGGGGACCAGGGCAGTTCACCAGAAAATGAACATCTGACAGTCGAAAAGTCAGCTGAGGATCTCTTTGTCGAGCAGACGGCTTGTGGAATCCTTGGAACTTTGCTGAAATGGTCGGAGTCGCGGTACAGTCGTGCTTGACGACTTTGCATGCATGGAAACGGCCGGCCCTTGAAGTGCCCAGAGTGCGACGCACCCATCTTTGTCAGTGTCAGCTCGTGACGCGTCTTCTGCAAGAAGATGCTTTCTGTTCGAAGATAGCCTTTAACACCCAACCTCGCATCGCGTCTCGCGTCGCGCGCCAGACGCGCCCTGCAGGCTCGGAGGGTTTCTGCCTGGTGAATAATGTGGCGGTGGCGGCGAGGTATGCGCTGGCCAAGTACCCCAAAGAGGCGACGCGGGTGTGCTGTTTTTTGGAGGACTATCTTTAGCAGGGTTTTCTATATTCTCCTGCACTTTCCCCCCCAAGGATGGTTTCCAATTGAAAAGGTCGTGCTTTAAATGAAGCAACACTACTGTTTGGGCCGAACTCTGATGGGGGGATGTTCCCAAACATAGGGGAAGATTGGGGATGGCGGATAGGACGTCTGGAGTCGTGTTTTGGGGCAAGCAGCTTTTGTGGCCGCTTCGGCCGATTCGTTCGACCGATTTCCAGGTGCGGCGGGTGATGGTCCTGGATTGGGACGTGCACCACGGGCAGGGCACTCAGGACAAGGGGGAAGGGAGTGGTTTCCACAGTGATACGGCTGTGGGTGAAAACCCTGCACCCTTGGTGAACATCAAAATAGGTGGCAAATGGATGTTCATCCACCCCAAAATGGAGAGTTTGCCGTAGCCACATGTAGGGAGTTGTGCCATTTTCTTTTCTCCCCGCGTGAAACAAGAAATCTTCCAGAGGGGACAACTAGTCAGTGGAAAGGCCTGCTAGTATGTTTGCAGTTTGTTCCCGCCCTGCTTAGGACACGAGATCTGAGTAGGGTTGTCGAGGTTTCCCTTTTGGGGGACCCCCGTTTGGGTTCCCTGTCAATTGGCAAGGGAGTAAGGGTTTATTGGGCGGAGTTTTTAAAGCCCTGGTTGTTTTTGATGTTGCGGGCACTTTTTGGGAGTCGCACCGCCCCAATAGGTTGGTTCATCCAGGGTCGACATTGCCCCAACCCAACCCAAATATATGTGGGGTGGCAACTACATGAATGCGTGGGTGCCTGAAGGGTATGTCTCGGGTGACTCCAGGCTTCGACATGCTGGGCCCGTTGGTTCACATTTTGGTGAGTTTGTAATTGAGTCTCTCTTTGGTGGGTGATTCAAAAGAACACATCGGCACACAACACATGTATCCTGGTAGGCGAGTTTGGCTGAACCAAGATGGGTTCCACGGGCTTCAGTTTGGTTCTAATTATTTGCTGGCGCCTCCACCTGGAAGAGGAACTCTGTCCAACAAAAGTATAGGGAATCATCTTATTCTTTGAAGATCCTCCTGGTTTCCCTTCAGGAAGAGGATGCAAGCGGAATCAACCTCTGGAACCTTTGGTTTTCCAGGGAAAGCAAAAGCAAAACCAAAAGGAAGACCAAAAGGCAACCAAAAGGGAAACCAACAAGTTTGCAAGCGAAACCGAGGAGGACGCCCAAAGACCTTTTGACCACGTTTGGGTCCAGGAGATCTTCTGGCGGGATGGGCATGTGCTCACCGTCAGCTGCCACGCGCACGCCGAGCGCTTCTACCCGCAGTCTGGGCGTCCGGAGGAAATCGGCGAGGATGCCGGGCGCGGGTACAATGCCTGGCTCCCAGGAAGTCAAGGGGTGCCAGAAAGGCCGTAGGTTTATACCAAGGTTGTGTGTTGCACCATGTCTTCGAATAATCAACCCATGGTCCCCTGTTTTCGGGAATCCCAAAGGAGGTAGTTTAAACAATGTGGGCCTGGTTTTCTTTGGCGCGATTTTTTCGCCTCCTGTTGAAATGAATAATCTTCAGGTACCTTCTCACAAATGCCATGTAAGTTGGCGGAAGGGTACATTGGGAAGACAAAGGGGAGCTTTTCTGTTGTTGTCCCCTTTCAGGCTTTCAGGCATTGGGGTGATAGGGGAACGCATCCGAGGTGAACGTGGCATTGCCCGCTGGGTACACCGATGCCTGCCTCCAGCACGCCTTTGTGCCTTGCTCCAGGGGCTGAAATTGGGGGTCCCCCAATTTCATTTCCTCCGTCTTCCCTTTGCAAGAGAGAACCACGAAACCAACAAAAAGCACGAAACCACGGATGGAATTCCAGGGGTTACACCTCGCCCACTTCCACTGATGAGGGGCTGGGGCTGCCCGGCCGTTCAAACAAAATGGGTGTGGGTCAAAGTTTCACCACCAGGAATCGGACCGCAGGTGTTGGTCCATGTTGCCACTTACCAGAGCAACCCATTTTGGGACCACAGGTTTCAGTCTATGTTTCCATTTGCCAGCGTTCCATTTTGGGTACTTATTCTTGACCCACAGCCACTTGAAAATCCCACCTATTTTTGACCCACAGCCAAAGCGCCCGAGGCGGAGGTGGTGCTGCCGGCGCTGAGAAGCTTCGCGCCGGACCTGGTGCTGGTGAGCTGCGGCTTCGACCACCTGGCGCCCTGGGTGTGGCTTCTGGGTGGCTTCCAAAAAGATGGTTTCCTCTGCGCCCAAGAGGGATCAGGTGGGTGGTTCTCAAAATAAAAGACCCCTGTGGGTGGCTTCCTCAAAATCAAGTGCACCCCATCCAGGTTTTTTTGGTTTTTCTCTGGCCAAAAAGGGACCACTCTCCGGATGGGGACGCGAAATCCGGCAACAGCGCCGCGAAATGCAGCCATGGCTTTGCGGGGGAATCGAATCATTGCAGGGTTTCTTAGGTGGTGCAGGATTTCGACCATCAACAGTATTTTGAGAATGCGGGACGAAAGCCAAAGCACCAGCTGGGGTGCTGGGAAACCTTGGGATAAAACGTCTGCCAACAGCTTAAAGTTGGAAGCTTTCCGTTACCAGGTTTCTGCATTGTGCACGGCCTGCCGAAAAGCTGAGTCTCAGAATATCAGGTGTTGACCTCGCACAGAACGTGTCAATACTTGTATCCAAAAGGATACTGTGGAAGACTTGTCTTTTTCCCTCCAAACGCCGTAACCCAGAACACTGAGGACCTTTTTGGCTCGTAAGGATCTGGTACCCATACTCCCAGTAACATGGACGCTGACTGGAGGCGCTTGAAGACAGTTTTCTAGGGAGAGTGCCTACCGGATACCCCACATAACATTGGCAGACTGAACTCACCTTTTTGCTCTTTTGCCCTTTTGGGTTTCCTTCGTTTTCCTGCTGGATCAGCAACCTATCGAGTAATTTTATTTGCACGCTCGTTCGCGGCTGGTGGTCTAACCACCGACCGCGTTACGACCGTCACCTCGAGCAGCGAGTCATACCCGGAAGAACCACGGAGGCTAGGGACCTGGCACCAGTGTATCCAAGTCTTCCATTTCACCACCACCACCGCAGATATCTGGAATACAACAAAACAAACATCATAATTCCCTCTTTGTAATTGACCAATTGCCCTTCAACCAACCGCAAACGATGCCCTTAAACCTAAAACCAAGAAACCATTGGATCAGGGCGTTTTTCTCACTCCCTGAGTTCCTGGACTCTATTCTTTTTCGGAAGACCATTTGGTAAATACAAAGTTCAAACGTGTTCGGCCAATTCAGTCGGGAGGGTAAGATGCAAACATGTGGTCAAGGGAGCTAAACCCAATGGGACCATGGGTTGAGGGCGCCTTTCTCCCTCAAAAGTTTCACAAACCCATGGGTCACGGGAGCTAAACCCAGGCGGCCATGGGCTAAGGGAGCCTTCTGGCCGTTGTGGTTCCCTTCCGCCTGCCCTTCGACCGAGGCGGGGGACCCGCTGGGGGTCGGGCAGTGCAGCGCGGAGGGCCTGGCGAGGCTGGCGGCCGAGGCGCGGATGTGGCCGTGCGATCGGTGCATGGTCCATGGTTGTTGTTGTTGTTGTTTTGTGGCTTTCCTTTCGACCATGGTGGGGCCTGTCAATTTTTTTTAGGCACCCCCAAACATGGTTGTTGTTGGGAAACATGCTTTGCATTTTTGCTTATTGTGGTTTAGTGGGAAATGCAAACACTTAACTGCCAAAAATCATTTTTTTGCTCCCCTTCCAACGTCAACCAAGGTTTGATCGCTTCATTTTTAGGGTGCCCACACGGCCTCAGACCAGCCGGAAGCTCCCCCAATTGGCCGATGCTGTGGAACCAAGTCCCAAGGGGTCCGGGATTGTTTTTTTCCATAGTCTGGGGCAGGGTACACGGCCTAGACTTCTGCTTCCTCTGTGTCAAACTAGATGCCCCAACAACTGGATTCGGTCTCCTTTCGGCATTCCTTCAAAACCACCGCAAGAAGGGCACCGGCACTCAAAAAGCAGAAGTCAGCTTGTTTGTTGCCTGGTGAAAGTTGAGCATCCCCTCTAACATGGGACCCCAAGTCCACATCAACCTGGGGCTGATGAATCCTAGGTCAACATGAAGTCAGTATAAACCCTTACTCCGCTGCCAAGCAACACGGAACCCAAAACTGGGGGACGGGGGGTTCCCAAAAAGGGAAACATCTACCAATGAGGTTTTTCTGGGTTCCATGTTAAGCGTCAGAGGGCAAGGTGGATAATGGTTAAGAGTATTCCCTCTATGGTCATGACTTTAACCTATTTAGTAGTACCCCAACCCCCCTTCTAATTATTTAAGCCTTAGACCAGGTAAGCCTTATTTGGTGGTTTGGATTGGTGGTGGGATCTGAGCCCATGGAAACCACCCCCAAGCAGAGGGAAGCTGATTTTAGCAGGTGGCCCGCTGTGCGCCGCGCTTGGCGCTGGCGCTGGAGGGCGGCTACGACTTTCCGCTGCTGGCGGAGGGAGTGGGGTGCCTGGTGCGGGCGCTCGCGGAGAGGCACTCAGGGGTTGTCAAAGGGTTGAATGAGGACCCAGTGTCTGAACATAGCCTTGTTATCAGGGCTTCAACACTTTCTAGGAGGATATCCCAAGAGAAGCGACCAAATGTTTTAGGGCTTTGCAGACTCTGCAAGGGAAAGGCCCTTAGGGGACTCGGTCAAACTTGAGCATCTCAAGGGGGTCGCATGGGCCATAGGCATTTTGGGTGGGGGAGGGGGCTGCCGAAGAAGGGAGGTGCGAGGAACACGTCCCCCTACTTGCTCCAATTTTCCCCGTTTGCCGTTTGGGCTGTCCCTTTCTGGGCAGCTTTTTGGTTTTACCTCCCGACACTTTGATCTTTTGGTTGAACACGATTGTCACCACAAGCTACACAGAGTGAAATTCGCTTTCAATGGCTTTTGGGGCGCAGCCACGAAGGCTGTGATGACTTTTTGCCGGCGGTCCAACGTTTTTTTTGAGGCGGGGAAGCCACCCTTGGTCACCCGATTTTGACACCTTTTGTGCCGACCAGGCCGCCCCGCCCTCTGTCAGCAAAACCGCCGCCCTGCGCGGCTCCTCTCCCTGCCTCTGCCGCGGCGGTGCGGGCGACGCGGCGCGCGCACGCCGGGCTCCCGCTACGCCTGGCAGAGCCCCGGGCGTTTAAGCGCCGGAGGACGGCGATACCTCTTTGAATCCACCGCAACAACCGGCCCACGGCAAAAAATCGGCGGCTTTAGGGCAAATGCTCAAATCATGACAATTGGTAGCAAAAGGTTGGTCCTCATATCACTTGCTTTTCCTTTGTTGGTTGATGGAATGTCACTTCTGTTGGCCATTTCAATGGTTCCTCTGCGAGTCAGTTGATTGATTGGAGGTCTCAAACTCCTTTTAGTGATGGCTCTAGGAGTTGTTCGCCGCCGAGTTTGGCGGACTTCTAGGTTGTTTTTTCTTCGGAGTGATGCTGGGTGCCAAATATCTCAGAGTGTTTAGATCGCCCAAAGAGAAACCAAAATGCGATGGCTGAAAGTTTACCCAGACTACGGGCCTATTTAGCACCCAGGACAGTCACCCTGCCCCAATACCCCACAAAAGTCCAAGGTGCAGTGTTTGGGCTGGTCTCTTTGATTTTGACGGCTCCCCCAGACCCATGCAGAGCATTAACAGCCCCTGGTTATGTTTGCGCCTGTTTCTTTGGATAGTGAATTCCGGGCCGGCGGACGGTGGATTGGATATGTAGATTTCGGACGTGGACCCCCAACTCCACAACCAAACCAGGGTCATTCCGCGCCTCTAAAGCATGACCAACCGCAAGTGTAGGACGTTTGGTGAACTTTTTCTTTGGCATTCTTTTACCTTTGTTGCCATTTTTTCTACCATTGTGCCAAGGAGGTCTTTGAAGTCACCCTTCAAAAGGCCTTACGCAGCATGCTCCTCCATCATAAGTGTTTATGCCCTGTACGAACTAATCTGCCTTCTCTTCAAATCTGGCTTCTGGGCGGAATGGTTGAGGAGAATAGGGAAACAACCCTTAGAACTTAGTGTCCCATGCTCAGAGCAGAGCACTAGGAACCCAGGTGTGTAAGTAAGTAACCCTGGTTCAGAAGCAAGCGCATATTCTAGAGACACTTGAACATACAAGCAGGTTCAACCCGCCTAAGCGGCTTGTTGGGCCCGCAATCCAAATGCAACAATATGCTGTTTATAGGGCCCGACTAATTGCACACATCATCCAGCCATGATAATGACGCCCCCAAAACTCCATTGTAACTAACAAAGCTCATGCGGAAGCACGGCATGCAGTTAGGGTGTCGGAAAAACAAACGGACCTGCCCCTGCAGGGGTGTGTGCGAGCGCTCGCTCTCGGGCCGAGATTCTCTATCCGGAATTCGTTGCCAGTTGCGGGGTGCATGTGCAGCTGGTGAGAGAAAAAGGAGGGCAAAGGAGCTGCAAGGAGAAATAGGGGGTGAAAGGGGGGAAGAGAAAAGAAAAGACACAGGGAAAAGAGTTGCCTTTTGATTCTGCCCAAATTATGTTTAAACCTGATACAAAAAGACAGACTTGCCAGTCAATCATTGGAACAAAAGTCAACGTCCAACCTCAAAAGAGAGCCACAAGCTCGTCGTTGACGCTGTGCTTGTCGCAGATGGTGGGGCAACGTTTCAAAGGACATATAGGAAACTTGGGGCACATGTTGGGCATTGTAAAAGGTCCATCTCCAAATAGGGATGGCTTTAAAGGGAATCCGAGAGGCAATCAAGCACTTGGGAGTGCCTTATCTTTTAGACACGCAACATATGTGTATGGGTCAAAATTAAACCACCAGGAATTGGACCGCAGGTTTTAGTCCTTGGTTCCATTTACGAGGGTTCCAAAATGGATGCCCATTTTTGACCCACGCAACATATCAACAAATCCTGGCACTTGGTCTGGGCTCCTCGGGCGTAGGATAGTGGCTGAGAATGGGTCGAGAACGGTGGCAGATGAAGGAACACAAGTTTCGTGACCACCAAGCCGTTGGTCTTTGGCTTTGACGAAAAAGCCGTGAACAAGGGAGAATGGGACAGCCCTCCAAAAAAAAGACCACCTCTTCTGAAGAACTCTTTGGTTTCATCACGAACAAATAAAAAAAAGAAGGAACAAAAACAAACACACACACACACACACACACACAAAAAACACAACACACACCTCCCGTTGATCGGCTCGGAGAGGTCTACTGCTGCGAGAAGGCGAAGCTGGGCTGCCTGGTCACAGCCTCAGGGCATTCGATCCAAGGCAATAGCTCCAAGCACGCCCGGCACTGGGTTCTGCCACAGGAGAAGCTCGGGAGCGAAACAAAGGTTTGGTGTTTCTTCTTTTTTCTTGGAGGGGCAGGTCACCGATTTTTTTTGGGCGGGGGAGGGGAGGTCACTTTTTTCTTTGGGGGGGGGAAGGGGGGTCACTAGGCCACGACCCCTTTGCCGCCACATGTTCGGGGTTTGACATGGGTTGGGGATGGAAGTTGGGGTCGACCAGGTCATTCCTCATGGGACCCACCGTCACTCACGGGCTCCGATGGCTTGCGTAGTGTAGCATCCGAAAGGAACCCATTTGGGTGTGATATTTTAATGGGTCTTCAAAGGACCCTTCGGTGGACATCATGGTGGGGATTCATGTCCACCAACCACTTTTGAGGTGGTCCCCACTTCAAAGTCGCGGCTATTTGTTAGAACCTGTGTAGGGTCACGCAATCGGACTTGGGGATGGCTTAGCCACAGAGATCTGCCCGATTCCATTCCCGCTGGCACGCGTCCCGGCTTGGTTTCCTCAAGATTTGAAGACCATTTGCTGTTGGTATCATTCTTCTTTCGGCTCACGGTCATTGAGATCCCCGACCAACAGATGAAATGAACCGTACATCGCGGTTTTTTGGCGCGTTTTTGTGTGTGAGCTGGCGATGTCAGGCCCCAGGAAGCCAAGGAAGTCTTGAAGACATGGGCGCCGTTTTCGAGATACACTTTTCAGGTCAACTTAAAAAAGGAAGCCGCTAAGCCGCAAGGAGAAGCATAGACTATCTTTGGGGTCCAACTCCCTTTGACACCACATGGACTCATGTTCTGCTGAGCTGCAATAGCGTTGTGTCCCCATGGCTAGAAACCATCCAGTCCGAGTGTCAAGCCGACGGGAACCTGAACGGGTGTGGCGTTTCAGCCCACGGGGAGGTGGGACGACCAATCTCAACGACTCAAACAGCAACAGGCCTCCGTTCAGAGAGGTGCTCCCAGTAATTCTTTCGAGCGGAAAGCCAAAGCTGCAAGAGGAGGCCAAGGGCACCAAAGATGTTCCTTGGTCGAATTGTGTGACCAAGCTGCCTTTCAGAGTAAGAAGGCTGCTCTTTTTCAAATAGGCGCACTTTGCCCCAGGGTTTATGTGTTTGTTTTTCCCAGGACCACGGATGTGACCAGAGGGCAGCCTACGAGGCTTTCTGACCGACAGAATTCGACAAGCATCCACCCCATTTTCGGATCTGGGCGAAGCCTCCGAGGAGATCGACTTCAACAGATCCGACCCGGTGCGGGAGTGCAACGGCTACCAGACGTCCGGAAGCCAAAGTTTGGGTCTCCTCGAAGTCTTTTTTCAGATTGGGTAGAGTAAGTACGAAGCAGACACATGAACATACCATTCTTTTGTACCCCAGACGAGCTTGGCGGCAAGGAATTGTTCAAGTGCCGATCAGGTCGCTGGTGCGCAACCCTGCTGATGGAGAAACACTAAGCATCCAGTTGGGATTGGGCGCTTGTCCTTGTATACGGATGCACCTCAAGAAGTTTTGCGTGGAGCCCCAATTAAGAGGAAACTGACATGAGTTTGAATTCCGAACTCTGGACTTTTTGCCCGCAGGGTTCTGCAGTTCTGCGCTTCCGGCGAGCTCACGATCCCCAGGAAGCTCATGACCTTGGGGATTTCGGGAGGAGAACGGGTTTGAACCTCAGAAGGAAGGACAAAGGTCAAGATGGGTTGCTAGACTCGCGGGACTCCTTTTTGCCGAAAACTGTCAGGGCCCAACCTTGTTTTCCTTTTAGCCAGTTTCTCCCTTTATTTCCAATCCTGCAGGAAGATGTATTTCCCCTCTCGGGCCGATAGGGCACAGGAGGTTCTGGGGCTGCAGATACCTGGGCTGATTTTCTATTTCCCTTTTTTCAGGAACGCATGGGTGTGTGCGTGGAAACTGGGCACCGAGAAATGCTTAGTTTCTTTTTGGTTTACGTTTAGAACCGATGCAGAAAGGCCAGCCTCCATCCAAAAATCGTGGAAGCTGACCGGAAGACTACTTTGTTTTTGGGAAACCTCCCTGCCCACTTCCATTGGAAGGTTGGAAGGAGGGCACTCTCAAAAAAAAAGAGATCTCCCTGCAAAGCCGCTGCAAAAAGAGTTCCCGTTTTTTTTTTTTCCCTCACCCACCGCTGCGGCCGAGGGAAATGTCAGAGTGCAGCGCAGCAGACTGCGAGGGCTGCGTGCCGCAGAACTGCGTGCCCGGAGCTCCGGAGCTCGGCTTGGAGTTGTTCTCGCTGGTTGGAGTGGCAGGGGACGAGGGAACCCGTAGACGCATAGGTGTCCTGTTTCGGTTAGTTTGCTTAGAAATACGTGGTACTGGTGGAGATTGGTTTTCTTCCATGTACCAGGGCCATCTTTTCTGCCGCACGGTTGCCTATGCCTAGAAGCGATCCAAGATTCAATCGAGTTTTCCTTTTCGGGGATTGCCATTCCCGAACTTCCTTGGGTGATTTCCTAAGAAGCAGGGGGAAGAGTTGTCCTCATGTTGGGTTGTCTTCAAGTACGATGTTGCTCTGATCTTGGCATGTAGAATGGTTCCTGCGAAAGGGAAGAGACATGACCACATCTCCCGGGTTGTGAACTTTTCTTGACGAGGATTCCTCCTGATTTGTGTCCTATATGAAATCCCTTTTTGAGTGGCAAGTGGGTTTGATTTGGATGCTTCGCAACGCGTGATTCGCTTGTTGCTTGTTAGTGGAGCAGTCATTCCCCAACTTGATCCCTCATTGTTTTCACAGAGACCCTTCAAGGATACATCCCACAACCACCTGCTTTACAAAGGGTTCATCCGCCGTTCTTTTGAGAAATCACGCATCTCCTTTGGACTCCTGACAATTTGCTCAAAGGAGGCAGCCTCATGGAACAAGTACGGCCAAAGGTATGGGCAAGAGGGTCCTTCTTTTTCAGCCGGGCTGTTTGGAGGTGAGGGCAGAGGTACCGTTTTTTTTGGAGAAAGAGCAGTTGGAACCAATGCTTGGAAGTTGCCCCTTGCGGATTTGCGATACCTCCCAAGGGGATCGCCCATTCTTGGGACGCGTCTTTGTGCCGAAGCAGGGGGAAACCCGCCATTCCAACTGGTCACTTACTAAGTTCGAGTCATGGCGGGTAACCAAAAAAATGGAACCCGTGGACACCCCTGGCGTGTGTTGCTTTCGTGCCCCGCTTGGCCCAAGGAGATGTCAGGTGAGCATACTGCATGTTGCACGTAGCGCCCATGCTCTGAACGGCATATGGGTATGTGTCAAACCAGGGGACCCTGGGCGGTTTTCCTTTTGGTTTCCCCTTTAATTGAAACCGGCCCCAAAAGGTGCATATGAGGTAAGAAGGTCCGCATGCGCGACTCCTCCGCGCCACTCCTCCGCCGCCAGGTGGGGCGATTGGTCCGCCTGGGTGGCGAAGGAAGACTGCACAGGAGCCGAAAAAACGGTCGGTCGGCCAGCTCCCAATGGCTGGAGAGGGTTTGGTCGGGAACCGCGCGGTGGGTGTTTTATTTTTCCCCGAAATGGAGCTGGGGCTCAAAGAAATGGGCCTGGGCAAATGGAGACCAAAGGCTCAGACCTGCGTCACCCCTGGCGCTTTTTAATTTTGAGCCACGCCCTTAAATGAGTTGGGGCCGTTTTTTATGGAGGGGAGTGCATTGCGCTCTCCACAAAAGCTTCAGGATTTGGCTTGTTGAGACGAAAGGTGCAAGTTTATGAGCATGGGCACCCGGGCACCCGAAACCCCTGCCTTTTTGTAACTGCCATGTGGTCTGCCCCTCTTGGAAACCCCTCCAAAAACAGGGTTTCTGTGACAACTGGGTTCCTTTGGTTTGGCGAGCGGCTTGCAGCCTGCGCCTCCCTACATAGGCAGGTTCGGGATGGTTTTGGGGGATTTTGGGTAAATCTGACGGCAGCTGGGCAAATTGTAGCGACCTCGCAAGTGGTCTTAAGCCATCTTGCCTATGATGAAGGTACCCATATTATTCCATTCCTGACTTATTTTTGTCATTATCATTATTATCACAGAACAAGCGCGCAAAGGGGGTGAGTTTAATGTTAGTGTGCCACGTGATATCTTTTTCCTTTATTACCATGATGGTCGAACAAGTGACATCCTAGGCCAGGTTGGAATCTGGCTGGATGTCAAAAAGTAGACCATTCGATCAGCAAGCCAAGCTGCAACCAACAATGGTTAACGCCCCCTTTGGACGGTTTGGGGTTGCTTCCCTTAGCCTTCCGACCCCCATGCCTCCCCCCCCCTCGTTTTGGTGAACACAGAAAGGGCCTATCGCAGTGCAATTTCTTCGCTTCTAGGGTAGACTTAGGATACATTTTACATTTTACCAGTGACTCCACGTGAAGCAAACAATAAAATATACATTCTATAACTGGGCCTACTCTAATCATGGTTTGTGGTGTTCGTTTGTTGCGCTTCGTATGTGTGCATGGCACCCACCCTCCCTACCCCGGAGCCCAGCTGCAAGCATCTTGCGCTCCGCAAGGCCTTTGCACGCGCTCGCGGTCGGTGGCCGTGGAGAACAACGAGCGCCTCAAGTCGAATTGGTCGGTGGCTGTGTTCGCGTCGAGTGAGGCTCCGTACTTGCGGAACACTGAGGGTTTGGAGCCACAATCTATGAGAAGGACGTCGGAATAATCAGGACGCAGCTGAACGTGCCAGAACAAATGGGTAGTGGGTAAATGGGGGCTTGGGTATGGAGGGGATTTTTTTGAAGGATTTTTTTGTGGATTTGTTTTAGCTTCTTGGCTTTTTGGCTTTTTAGCTTCTTGGCTTTTCGGCTTCTTGGTTTATGCGGCCTTTTTTTTTTTTGCTTTGGCTTTTCGCACCCTTTGCTTTCCCAGTTCCTTTCTGGCAGGTGGCTTTTTGACCTTTGCAGCCTTTCGTTGGCTCTTTGGCTTTGGCTTCCCGCATCCTCAGCATCACCAGTTCCTCTCCGGCATGTTTTGGATATATTCGGGGTTTATCCATGTATGTACATAATCTACGCAATCGATGTAATCTATGTAGTCTATGAAATCTATGTAGGTATGTATGTCTGTCCGTCTGTCTGTATGTTTGTATGTATGCACTTCTTCGAACATCACGGGTGGCTAGGGCACCGGCCTGAGGTTCTATCGAGAGAGGGTGATTAGGGATGCCTCTGCGATCATGCAAATAGAGCCAGCATCCTCCATCCCAGGATCTTTAGATCCATCCCAGGATCTTGAGGTCACATGTTCCACCAGGCGTACTTGGCTCGCAGATGTAGATTTGGAAATTAGGTTTGGCGGCGGTGTCAGTGGAACTGCAGCAGACCCTTCACGCGCTTTCACCGCCTGGGCTGCATCTCAGCGGTCGGCACGCAAGATCTTTCTCATTCTGGTTCTTTTTAGTTCTTTGATGCTTTTACATGTTCGTCCATGCGTCATTTCGGAGGATGTTGACGGCAGCCTCCTGCAGGCATCATGCCTTTCTATCGGCCACACCTCAAACGTTCAGCCCCCGCCCCAAGGAAGCGCATTTCAAGTGGATGCAGTTGCCATGCGCCAGGGTGGCAGCAGCGAGGTGTTTCGCGCCTTGCGCCAGGGCGTTCAACAATCGAGTTGGGGCAAACAAGTGGCATGTGACTGTGCAAGCATTGGAGTAAGAAATCAAGTCGGGCAATACGTGGCACTTGACAGGGCAAGAGTCAAGATAGGGCATCAAGTAGCATTTGACCGCGCAGGATCTGCAATTCAGCGCCCGACTGCACCAGAACCGAGTTGGGCGACAAGTGGTGGCTGTGCAAGGTTGGTTCCCAAAAAGCAGCTATGCGGTTATTACGGTTATCATGGGGCCCCCTACTTCACCATCCTGGTTCCCATTTCACGGTTCTGGCCGGCCCTAGTTCAGGGGGCTACTTGCTATACTTGAATGGCCAATCGTACTGGATAGCTAAAAGTAGTCTTCATAGCTTCGGCGGGGCGGGCCGTGTACGCCCCCTTCTCTTGCGCGGAAGAGGGGCTGCTTTAACACCTGCAGTCATTAAGCCTTTTCAGTAGATTGCGCACGAAAACACGACATTTGCCCATTCGTATTTGCAGGGGCATTTTTCAAGGATGTTTCCCGGGATTTTGTTTCGCTTTTGGCTTTTTGGCTTTTTGGTTATGCGGCTTTTGGTGGCTTTTTGGCTTTGGCTTTCGCATCCTCTGCTTTCCCAGTTCTTCTGTGGCAGGTGGCTTTTTGGCTTTAGCGGCTTTTCGTTGGTTATGCGGCTTTGGTGTCTTCTTTGGCTTTGGCTTGTCGCACCCTATGCTTTCCCAGTTCCTTTCTGGCAGGTGGCTGTTTGACTTCCCGCATCCTGAACATCACGAGTTCCTCCCCGGCAAGTGTTTGTATTTTTGTGTTTGCCCATGTATGTGTATAACTGTATAACCTATGTTATCTTTGTATGTGTGTCCGTATGTCCGTATGTATTTGCTTCTTCGAACATCATGCCGCTGGAGCGGAAGCAGGCCGTCCACGCGAAGGCGAGAGCGCCTTGGGCTCGCGCGCCTTGCTCGGAAGGCTTGTCAGGAGCTGCACGTGGACCCGCCAGACTTGGAGGCCAAGGACGAGACCGCGCCCGAGAGCACGGAGACACCCTCAAACGACAGGTGCGCGCGGAGCACGGCAACAGCGCGGCGTTCCGAGGCAAGGTCGATCTCTTTCGACTTGCGCGCTGCGTCTGCTGCCGGCGAACCCGAGGCCTGTCCCTGACGTCGGCCAGAAGCGGGTTCGCCAACCCGACTTCGACGACGTGCTGGGTCGCCTCGGCCCTACAGGCTCTCTTCGCCACCGGCGCCACGGCCGGCCTTGTGACTGGACACTCTTCCGGCCCCACGTGCTCCCCCTGCTGCGCGCTCTGTGCGCTGAAGACAACCCACGACGCGAGCTGGCGCCCAAGTCAATCCCCCGACTTGATCGCGTTGTGGGGCGTCTGGCTCCAGAGCGTTGGGCGCGACGTCACTGACCAAGACGACGCTGGGGAGTTCCTCCAGCTCCTTTTGGCAGCATGCCCGGCTCTTGCCCAGTGTGTCGCACAGGAGGTTTTCCACGAAGACTCCTACACGGCTCGGTGCGGCAGAGATATTTTTGTACAGAGGTTAACATGCACCCTTTGCTTAATGATCATCCCTGCTTCGATCACCGTGGGGGGGGGATGCCACTAAAGAGATACATGCACCGTTTGCTGATCTGTAACCCACGTATGTCCGTATGTATTTGCTTCTTTGAACATCATGCCGCTGGAGCGGAAGCAGGCCGTCCACGCGAAGGCGAGAGCGCCTTGGGCTCGCGCGCCTTGCTCGGAAGGCTTGTCAGGAGCTGCACGTGGACCCGCCAGACTTGGAGGCCAAGGACGAGACCGCGCCCGAGAGCACGGAGACACCCTCAAACGACAGGTGCGCGCGGAGCACGGCAACAGCGCGGCGTTCCGAGGCAAGGTCGATCTCTTTCGACTTGCGCGCTGCGTCTGCTGCCGGCGAACCCGAGGCCTGTCCCTGACGTCGGCCAGAAGCGGGTTCGCCAACCCGACTTCGACGACGTGCTGGGTCGCCTCGGCCCTACAGGCTCTCTTCGCCACCGGCGCCACGGCCGGCCTTGTGACTGGACACTCTTCCGGCCCCACGTGCTCCCCCTGCTGCGCGCTCTGCGCGCTGAAGACAACCCACGACGCGAGCTGGCGCCCAAGTCAATCCCCCGACTTGATCGCGTTGTGGGGCGTCTGGCTCCAGAGCGTTGGGCGCGACGTCACTGACCAAGACGACGCTGGGGAGTTCCTCCAGCTCCTTTTGGCAGCATGCCCGGCTCTTGCCCAGTGTGTCGCGCAGGAGGTTTTCCACGAAGACTCCTACACGGCTCGGTGCGGCAGAGATATTTTTGTACAGAGGTTAACATGCACCCTTTGCTTAATGATCATCCCTGCTTCGATCACCGTGGGGGGGGGGGGGGGGGGTGCCACTAAAGAGATACATGCACCGTTTGCTGATCTGTAACCCATGTATGTCTGTATGTGTGCGCTTCTTCGAAAACGCACCTGCTGAATCATCTCTTCTTCGAACATCATGCAGCCCCAACCCCCCGCTGCTTTTTAGAGTTTTTACAGACATTGATTTACTTACACAATGTAAAGCAACCAGAAGCCGCAAGCCTGGCAAACTTGCCCCGCTACTCGCGACCTGCTGGTTGGGGATGTTGGCGTCACAAACGGGGCATGTTGAGAACGATGCTGGGGCTGACAGGCTAGTGTAAAAAATGTGAGTTTTGTGAGAAAATGCTGTAAAATAGTCAATTATCACGATGACATTTATGGCCCAGAGGTACATGAGGTAGGTTCCCATGTAGTCAGTTGCATGTTGTACATTCAAGTCATTGCCAAAGCATGATCCAATCACTGCTTTGGCTCAAGTGCTGAAAACAGCGCGTTGCACCGCGCTAGCCCCAAGGTTAAGGGAGAGGTCGCAGTCACGGAGGGGTTCGTTCCTTTTAAGGTCCCGGGTTCCCCCGTTGTTGACAAAACTGTGTTTCCCTCTCCTTTGAGTGGTTATCAGCCGTAACGCTTTTCGGGTAAACAAACCCTTCCGTGACTGCGACCTGTTGGTCGCACATGGAAGTCGGCCCTCACCGCGGCACACGCGGTGGGAAAGGGCCGCGTGCCCGATTGTACAACACTCTGCAACAGATCGTCGTCGACGAGTACAAGCGGCAGAACAGACGATTCCGGTGGATCAGGTTTGCGGACGCCTCGAAGCAACAGGTCGAGGCGCTCTTTTCCTGGCGTGAGTCACTGGATAGTTGGCACCTGTGGAATTTTGACCAAGAAGCCTTCGACGTGATCCAGGCCGCGGACAACGCTTATCAGCAGCGTCTCGCATTGGTTGAAACCACAGGTGTGGTCTTGCCGCAAGGTGTGCCATCTCAGGATCAAGCCGCAGCCTCAGGCGCGGCGGGAGCAGTGAGCAGTGCAGCGGACTGGCTTCGTCCTCCGACGCCTCCATCAGCTTCCTCCTGGTTGCAAGATTCGCGCACTCCTTTGCCTCGCATTCGGCCATCTGCAGAGGAAAGACAAGCCGCAAAGTCAACTCTTCGCGGGGTGTACGCTAAAGCTGCGGAAACGCGGCGGGAGAGCAGCAGGGAACGGTCAACACAAAGATCGAGGCCCCCATCGCCACGAAGGTGGAGGTCTCCATCATCAACTCCGAGACGAGGACCAACTGCTGCTACCCCTGTGGAACAACGGGCCCACAGTGTTGAACCCGCGCTTGCGCGGGAGGGCAGGCCATCCAGGACTTCCCTAGCCACACGGCCCATCGTTTTGGCTCCACAGAATAGCATATACCCTGTGACTAGGTTTGACGAACACGGCACCTGGGTACTGGTTCGGGAGGCTTCACAGCCACGTGAGGCGGCATCTCATCGGCGAGCACAACGGACGTCTGGGCAACTCCGCCAAGCCGACCCGTACCTGCTCGCGGACGAGACGTGGAGGGACCCCCCAAGAAGGTCATCCACGAGCTCGCGTTCACGA